GCGGAGCGTTGGTCTGTGTGTCTTCATTGAGTTTACCTGTGATCCTTTCATCTTAATGTTTGTGATCCTCCTCCAACCAGACTATTGAGTAATGTGTTTACTGGATCTCTCTCTCTCTCTCTCTCTCTCTCTCTCTCTCTCTCTCTCTCTCTCTCTCTCTCTCTCTCTCTCTCTCTCTCTCTCTCTCTCTCTCTCTCTCTCTCTCTCTCTCTCTCTCTCTCTCTCTCTCTCCCTCCCTCTCTCTCTCTCTCTCTCTCTCTCTCTCTCTCTCTCTCTCTCTCTCTCTCTCTCTCTCTCTCTCTCTCTCTCTCTCTCTCTCTCTCTCGCTCGCTCTCGCTCTATCTATCTCTCTATCTATATATCTATATATCTATCTCCCTCCATCACGTCTGGTCCTTGCAGGTGCAAGGTATTTTCTTGCCGTATGCTCTCAAGACGCAAATGGTCAGCTCCCTAGTTAACATCTCGTCAGTGTTTGCGCAACGCAAGCGATGGCTTCTTGTGATTGACTGTCTTAAGGTATTGCAGTTAGCTTTTTTACTTCTTTTTTCCCATTCCACTTGTCTGAGACTGCTGTTGTCACTGCTGCTGCTGCTGCTGCTGCTGCCACCGCTTCTGTCGCCGCTACTGCTCCTGCTGCTGCTGTTGCTGTTGCTGCTATGGCTGTTGCTGCCGCCGCTCACACTGCTAACACTTTGCCAGTGGTGTTGCCTTCACACCGACTGCTGACGCTGCCACATCTGCTTTGTGTATTGTGTACTGTCGAGGTGCTACTATGTCCCCTTTCTCCTGTATGACTTTGTGTATAGTGGAATGTACTATCGATCATCTGGCGAATATGTGCACTTTACTGGCGGCCTGTGTGGCTTCTGTGCTGTGCTTTTGCCAAGCTGAATGCGTCTAACCTGTGTTCAGCGCGGAAGATAACTTGAATAGAAGTATGTATATGTGCATGTGTGCAACCTCTGTCTGTTTGCCTGCGGTAATTGCAGCTTGTGAGTCAGCTAGTTGCGCACAAGAAGTTTGCCCTGGAACTCGTGTCATCAGGTGGAGTCGGTGTGCAGTTGCTACTGGGCCTTCCTCCGGGCAGCTCAGCATCAGCTGGCGTAATGAATGTCTTCTCCAGCCTTGCGGAGAACAACCGCGACACCATGGAGAGGGTATGGTCGCGGACCTATGTGGGCGTGTGTGTGTGTGCGCGTGTGTGCGTGTGTGTGTGTGTGTGTGTGTGTGTGTGCCTGTGCCTGTGTGTGTGTGTGTATGTGTGTGCGTGCGTGTGTGTACATGAGTGTGTGTACATGAGTGTGTGTGTGTGTGTATGTGTGTGTGTGTGTGTGCGCGCGCGTGCGTGTTGTGTAGGACGGAGCCGGGTGATTGTGTATGCAAATGTGTGTGTGTAGGAGGGGGGGGGGGCTAATTGTGCACACCATTCTGTTACTATTCGCTTTCTAGTTCACTTTCTATTCAGTTTGGTCTGTACTGATGTAGTGGAACCAGCTTTGTTTTTGCTTTCGGTAGCAAATCACCACTTGCCTTCAAAGTTGCGAGACAGATCACCTGAAGCACAAAGTTGTGTTTCACCATACGTCTCAATCCATCCACATTGTACATACCCACCATACTTTTCGATCATTTTACATTGTACATGCAGCATCCGTTTCAAGTTGCAACCCATCGTCATTGTACATGCAGCATACGTTTCAAGTTGCAACCCATCGTCTTTGTACATGCACCAATGCACTACTATGCGCTTCAATTCATCTTTATTGTGAATGCGTCACCTGTCTATGAAGAGTGGTTTTCCTTGCATCGTGAGCTAGTCACTGAAGACAGATTGATTGCATTTCATACTTGAGACTACCGGTAACTGGCTGATGGTCACTCAAGTCACAAGATTAAATGATATTTTGAATTTGAAACTGGCTACTCTAAGGTTATTGGAGTGTGCCGTCGTCCTGTTCATGTTTTGTACCACTTGGCTATATGCTGTTATTTTCAGATTTATCTCATTCTCCAATCCAATTCGAACGCACTATTGGACAAACTGGTGGGGTGAGTTCTCAATGATTAGCATCATTTTCTCGTCCTGTATGTAAGTTATCGTCAGGTCACTCTCATTCTCGGTCTGTCTGTCTGTCTGTCTGTCCGTCCGTTCGTCTGCCTGTCTGTCTGTCTCTATCCCACTCACTCCCGTTCTCGGCATTCATGCAAAGTGGGCAGGATGGAGCAAGCTCTTCCTTGTCACTCAGAGTTTGAAAACAACAAAGAGGGTGATCACCAGACATTTATCCACTGAAGATCATTGTCCAATGACCTGTTAGTTCAAAGGAACTCGCTCCCACCATTGTTCTAGCCGAAAAAGGCCAGGAGAATACAATGCCCTCCTGCGATGGTGCTGCACCATCCATATTGAAAAGGGCAACCATCGTAGGAGGCCTCTGGTATAGTAAAACCCATTGCAATGAACCTCAGAGGCCATAGTAATGCTATTATGTTTATTTAGCCAAAGGAGCTGAGGTACTGTATATCCGAGGTCGAATGACTTCAACAGTATAGGCAGGTTACTCAGAACAGTACTTTTTTCATCCCGGGATAGGCTTCTGTACTTCTCTTCTGTTTATCCCCCTCCCCCCCCCCCCCCCCCCCCCCCCTCTCCTCAAGATTTGCTGTAGCTAGAATTCTCCTATCTGCTCCCTTTGAAGGTAGTACATGGAGTAGTTGTCTGATTTAATAACTTTCCTTCCCCTCCTTCTTCTGCCCAGGTACTGTGTACAAGTACTGGAGTGCGGACATGCAAGTGCACGTTCAACCAGCGGGACCTTTTTAATGCACTCCTTCAACTGGCCAGCCGTCAAAGAGTGCTTTGACAAGCACGATGGACTCCGGAAACTTCTGAACCAGGTAACGTTAACGGCTTTAGGTGTCACCAGTAGGGCAAACAAGACTTTCTTTCCCGGCACTATACTAAAGGCATGTTGCATCGCAAAGTGACGTAGGGTGTCTGGCAAAGTCATGGTCCCCAAGTCTCTTTGTCGTATGTGTGTGTGTGTGGGGGGGAGGGGGGGTAGACAGACGGGCATGTTCGCACATACCACGCCACTGATCACGTGAGCAACCAAGAGGCGTAGATCATGTGTCCCACGGCACGTGATAATGACTTTGCATATGGACATTTCTAGCAGTCGGAGTAGCTTGTATGATGACCTAGGTGAAGGCCAAGATGGCGAAGACCCTGAGCTGCCAGCTTTCTTGGTCCAAATCGATCAAATGGAAAATGTAGTCCTTGAAATGATCTAGAACAACAACCTCCAGTGATGATTAGTGCGAATATGAGAGGTGTGTCAATGTTTCTGTTTTCATAGCTACATCAGCTATGGATTCTCATGCCTGTCTTGGTCACGCACACCGACCACAGTGCGTTCTGTGGCACGAGTTAGCGAGTTGTCTCTTCCATGTCTTTCCATGTCAATGGCTGAAGCAGCTCCAGTTCTGAGCTCAGGCACCTGATGGCAGTGCGGTTTCCATCGCTGTTGCCTTTCTGCAGGTTACAACGTTATCTATGATGTCCAATGACGATGCTGATGTGATTGATGAAGAGGCCCAGCTGGTAGAGCGGCAAGTAAGACATGAACACACCAGATAGGCGTGTGCATTGTAGCATGTGTGTGCATTGTAGCATGTGTGTGCATTGTAGCATGTGTGTGCATTGTAGCATGTGTGTGCATTGTAGCAATCTTGTGCATTGTAGCGAGCTTGTATCTTTTAATATTTACTTTCCCTAATTCTTGGGTCGACTTACTTCCCCTCCCTTCTTGAGAAGTAAAACTGTGTTCACAACTGGCGCGTGGACGCGGTACGCTTGCGGTTCAAGCGCCCCCAAACGCGCGCTCAGCCTTTCACAAAAAACAGCAATCCGAGTCGTATTTAGCGCGTGCGACACCTTCAAGTACTAATTTTTTGACCCCGTCAGTCAAAGTGACTGGCATGTACGCTGATACGCGCCTGATACGCGCTGAAAATTCCAACATGTTGGAAGTTCCATTTCGGCGCGTTTCCGTACGCATGGCGCCCCAAAAGCCAGCAAAAATACGCACAAACGCGTGGTTTCACGCGTACACGCGCCAGTTGTGAACACAGCTTATGAGCTCGGTGAATGAGGGGCAGTAGCGTTCATGTCGGTGTGTGTGTGTGTGTGTGTGTGTGTGTGTGTGTGTTGTCGGCGGCTAAGTTTCCTCTTTCCTGCTTTTCCACTTGCCAGCAATAGCAGTCATAGTGACAGTGATGTTGGTGCTGCACTTTCCCCAGCTACTTACTCCTGACCTTGCACACTGGCTCACCATCAGATATAGAACATACTAATACTTGTGCAATGGTGATCATCCAGTGGTCAGTTAAACTCCAATGCATGAATGATATCAGTGGTGTATGGTTCATAATACTTTCAACAACAGCTGACCCATATTTTTCATCAACCACCACACCACAACTGCGCTCTCAACATGACGAGATGTGTTGCTTTCCTGGTGGTGTGCAGTGGCAATGTCGTGTCGGGGGCGGCTGGAGAGCGCAGTTGTGGTGTGGTTGCCGATGAAAATCTGTGCATGGTCGAATGTTGCTGCTCATCCCTTTATCTCGCTGACCAAATACCGATGTGTTTTGTGTATGCAGCGTGTCCGCGATACACTACTCACGCTACAGAACTACATCCTGGCGAACTTCACCATCGTCACCAAAAACCTCATTGGCATGGTTTGCCAAAATCTTCCGTCCAGCTCCGTCGCTCAAGAACCACTTCGCAAGCACCTGCTGAAGGTGGCCTACCAACTGAAAGTAGGTGGAATGGTGTGTGTGTGTGGGGGGGGGTCCTTGACTGTGTGCACCATTCTAATTACACAGGTCCTAACACTAGCTCACACACCCTGGCTGCTGTAGAGCTTGATGTTCCCCGCCGCTCTCATTTTCAAGTCCCAAATTCCGGATGTGTACTATTCGATTGTGACAGCACCTGTGGGAATTATCTGTACAGTAAAACCAGGTATAAGCAATCTCTGGGTTTAGCGACCACCTGCTCTTAACGACCGCTTTTCCATGCACGCACAGTTCTACACAGACACTGTGGGACCTGGCTCTAAAGACCACCTGGCTTTAACGACCGCTTTTGCTTGCACCGTGGGGTGGTCGCTTAAACCAGGTTTCACTGTATATCAATATGTAGCTACCACCACTATCTCGCTGAATCAACTGGGGTTGTTCCCTTTTTCTTTGCCCACTTAATGAGAAGGTTTCATTTATAGGACTACAGTGAAAGCTGGTTAGGAAGAACCGACTGATAAGACAAATGTTTGCCTAAGAAGAACTAGTATTCGTAACTGTATTGGATAAAACCCTGTGTATTCACTGGGTAAAACATATGGATAAGAATAACTCCCGTTATTGCGAACAAATATTATCGGTCCCTTGATGTTCGTCCTAAAGAGGTCTGACTCTACTAGTATTTTGAAGTGTTTAACTTTGTGATTTGAGAAATTATGATCACTTTCCGCCCTAGTGCACAGTACAATGTACACAACTGTACTGTGTACAATTGTCATGTACGTGTGCATGTAACGTTATGTTGATGATCCAAACAGTGTGTGGCCAACTAGGCACTGCGTTCAGTCCGGATGTACTGTAGTACAGCTTCTGGAATACTATAGCTTGCGAATAGTGGAAGTAGCAACATTTCCCTTGCGTTGGACCTGGTTGCTGTTGCTTGTCCCATTGACTGGATAGAATACTGGGGATAGAATACGGGATGCATTGTTATTTTCCATGTCTGCTAAAAAGCTGTTCTCTCTCTTTCTCTCGCTCTCAGGATGCAATCTACGCTTCGAAACTGACATTGGACAATGTATCTACGTTCCTGCTTTATTGGCCGGCGCTCACCAAGTGGTCGTTTGTTGGGGTGAGTTACCTGGGTGTTTGATGGTTGAATGTGCACTGGAGCAGGGTTTATTATTTTTATTTTTACTATTATTCACAAACCCAACTCGTAAAATAAATAATTATGTGGACAAAAACAAACAGCTACTGAGCAGGGGCTGCACTGGGCAGCAGTGATGGTGAGGTACCAGGGGCTCCACCGACCAAAGGTCTCGGCTTCAATACCACAAGCATGCACAGTATGTGTGTGTGTGTGTGTGTGTGTGTGTGTGTGTGTGTGTGTGTGTGTGTGCACGCATGCGCACGTGTGCGAGTGTGCGTATATGCGTGTGTGTGTGTGTGCCGCGCATCCGGACTTGCGAGTGTGTGGGTGCATGCACATGCATGCTTCTGCTGAACTGATCATCACTGGTGTGCTGTCTCACTCTACTGTGCTTGCAGAGCTTCATGCAGCTGGGCGGCGTGCAGCTTCTCTTGCAGTTTACCTGCATTGCATCTAAATGGAAGAACACTCCGCTCAGGTAATGCCTGTGTTCTTCGCTCTGAATGTATGGTTGCTGAACCACATCATGCACATTTACGCAGGTCTTTACCAACACGGCGTTGTGCAAGTGCTGTTGCTTTAGATGTTGTTGTCTTTCTTGCTTAGAGTCATGTTGCTTGATCCTGAAGTTCGTGTTAGCCTGAGCATGGTAGTCACTGCATGTATGTTCTTTCTCTGCTGTTCTCGTGTGAGGTAATCATGCTGCCTTTGCTTGTTCATCTGTGTGTGCGCGTGTCCATGTGTCTGCCCCAAAGGCTCGACATCGCCTTGTACTCACTGGAGGGCATTGCGATACTCGCGCTGCTTCAGGCGGATGTGCGCCTGGCGATGTGCGAGTCGTTTCTCATGCCTGACGGTTCGTCACATTCTGCCATGAGGTGAGTTGTGAGCAACTATCATTTTGAAGTGTGAAGTGGAGTGTGGCTGGTTAACTGTTCCTGCTGATGTCTGCAAGCGTCGTGTTGTCTCGTCTTGTCACAAGAAAAATCTACTGCAGCCATCAGTGTATTGCTTGGTTTCCTGGTTATAGAAATAAATTCAAATAATGCCAGAATTGTTTTTAAGTTAATCGCTGCTCGCCGATCGTTTGTGGCCGTTTGACTGATGAATGATGATGATGATGATGATGATGAAGATGATGATGATGATGGGACCGCGTGATTGTCCTGTTGAACTGGGAGAGAGAAGTTAATGCGTTGTGTCTGTGTCTGTGTCTCTGTGTGTATCTGTCTTTGTTGCACTTGCATTTTACCTGACCAGTCTTCTTCTGGAAGCAGCTGAAGGGTCGCTGATCGACGATCCCTCTGTTCAGACACTAGCCTTACAGATCCTGGCTACATGTGTCAGTCCGGACGTGGCTGCTGATCATCTGGTTAGTCTGATGCCATTTTGCTTGGTATTCTTATGCACTCTACACCACTGACCGTACAGCGCAGTGCTACACAACGCAGGACACTATGCTGCTTGCTTGCCCATGTACTATAGATGTAGCACAGTGCAGGGTAGTGCTACTGGAAGTACATGCTTCTGAACTGACGTGTGCTGTGCTGTGCCGTGCTATGCTATGCTATGCTGTGCTGTGCTATGCTGTGCCGTGCTATGCTATGCTATGCTATGCTGTGCTATGCTGTGCTGTGCTATGCTATGCTATGCTGTGCTGTGCTGTGCTGTGCTGTGCTGTGCTGTGCTGTGCTGTGCTATGCTATGCTGTGCTATGCTGTGCTGTGCTGTGCTATGCTGTGCTGTGCTGTGCTGTGCTGCACAATATTGTACAGTACATGATTGTGTAGGTTGTGTTTTGGAGTTTCACTGGATGCATGATTTTGATGTGTTTGGCGGTAGTGGAGCTGGTTCTAAACAACCCCTTATTTTGGGCAATGCCATCCTCTTGTTGCGTACCAATGCGGGATAGGCGATGCGCCCTAATGGAGTGGGTTGCTTTCTTTATGGGAAAGCGTGCTTGAAGCTGTATAACAGCTATCATCCTAGGCTTGACTTGGTTTGATATTGTGTACTGTAGTGTCTCTGTGTCTTGCCTGCAGTTGTTTGTTGATACCGTGTGCTGTGTGTCTCTGTGTCTTGCCTGCAGTTGTTTGTTGCCGGTCATGACCACACTGTTCGGTGTGGCGAGAACTATTCCAGCAAGCTGAGCCGTGTTTGGTCGTGTGTTCGTCATCACCAAGGCATCAGGGTATGTTTCTGCCTTCATCTCAACTGATCAATTGGCCGTCCTTTACATGCCAGGAGGCGTTGTCTAAAACATGTGCATCTATACACAACGTAGAGGCGGTTGCTCGACATTGCTCAGTCTACATACCATTGTAGAGGGGGGCTCTATCTACCATCTACATTGCTCAAACTACGTCGAGAGGGGGGCACTCGAATTAATTCCTCAGCCTCACCCTGCTCAGTGCAAGCAGCTGAATTTCTGTGAATGGAGTGTACTTTTTGCGGTGAAAGACAAACTTGACCTTTTGATACTCGTAGATAAGGAGCGTTCAGAGTCTTGATTTCTCTACATGAGGACAGTGCATGTAAGCACCCTGAGGTAGATTCTATGTTTTCAGGTATTCTCTATACCATGAGGATCGGACAGTTATTAGGTAAAGTGGTTCTCGTGTCTCTGAAGCTGGCGATGACCTGCTGTTGCTATGTCCCATGCTTGTTGTTGCTTCACAGGTCTTAGTTCAGCTGATTCAGAAGCGCACGCCGGCTGCTGCCGCCGATAGTCTGCGTGGTCTTGCTTGCATTGTGAGTACTGGGCCTGGTTTGAGTTCCTGGAAATTCTTGGGTTGCTTTACTTTCTCCAGTGTGTGTGTGGGGGGAGGGGTGTAGTTATGCATGTGCGTGTGTGTGTGTATAAGCGTATCTGAGAGGGTTACATGGTTTCTTCCAGACTGTTTGCTCATCTCTTCACTGACTAGTCAAGTATTCCTTGCCCAACTGTCAACTCACTGTTCCTTGTCTGCATCTACTGTATTCTGTCCTGTGTACTATTCCTTGTGTCCATCTATTGTATTCTGTCCTGTGTACTATTCAGGCTCTGAGTGGCCTGTCTCGGTGTGGTGAAGTCAAACAAATCCTCAGCAAACTGCCTTTGTTCAACAGTGGCCAGATGCTCAGTAAGCCTAATTTATGTATTGCTCTCTTTGCCTATCATACAGTAGGTGTCATTTTCGTGTGCTTGGTGGTCTGTGTTCAGCCAGTGCTGACAAATTCACTTGAACGAATAGTGTTACTTGAGCTTGCCTTCAAGAAAGTGTTTTTTGTCTTGCTGGCGATTTTATTTGCTGCCTGCTTCTTCTTGCTTCGTCCTTGCTTACTGCAGCACTCATGGCTGATCCGATCGCTCCAACCAAGCTCATTGAGCATCGCGTCTTCTGTCATTTTGCACAGATCATGATAAGTAAGCAGGTTTGCAAATGTCGTATCCGGTCGGCCCGGGGTTGGACCCCAGGGCTGCGGTCAGACATGAACTAACTTACTAAACTTACGAAACCCTGCAGTGGTGGCCACTTGGAGACAGTCCACCAACAGAATTACCCTTACGCACGCCCGCACATACTGTAAAACATGTAATTTTAGGTGCGTTAAAATTTCGGTGCCAGGGACCTGCCAGGTTTCAGGTGTACTGTAGAATTAGGTGACCAGCGTTCCGTTCACATACAGTGCATACTCTAGTGCCTTTTAGGTGTGATTTAAATTTATGTGCCTGGTTTCTCTACCGAAATCACCGAAATTAAAGTTACACCGAAAATTACATGTTTTACAGTATACCGTATTTTCCGGGGTATAAGCCGCACTTTTTTTCGCTAAAAATCGGACCAAAATCGCCCCTGCGGCTTATACACCGAATATGCTTGCGCGAATGAATGCTTAGCATACATCAGTATGCATGCTGACGTCATGTGACATGTCATTCGACTCAGCTTCGCGCCTGTGTTGCTATCCCGGCACTTTTACTAGTTTTAGTGCATCGGTGGCAGCGAGACTGAAGATAGTGCAGATGACATGGAGTGATCTGTAGTCAACACAGCAATACACCAACATCTCTGCAGCAACCTGTGGTGCACTAACACTTCATAATCTGATCTAACAGTCTGGAGTCATAGCCGGGTAAGCCCGCATCACTAAGTCTGAGTTCATCACAATAATGAGCTAGCGGTTCCCCAGCCTGGCGACGTCTAGCTTTAAATTGGGCCTTTAGTTGACACCCTTTCCCGATGGGGGCAAATCTGCGACCCATCTCCTCAAATAGCTGCGGCCAGTCCCTCCTATGTCCTAAGGGAAGGGTGGTATAAAAACGTCGAGACCACCAATAAAACCACAAAACAACATTTTTCACCGGGGAAAATTTGTCGATTTACAATATCGCATCTCTCTGACACACACACATGTGCTACATACCGGTAAGTGGTGCTGAAAAGCACGTCCTCTCGCTTTTCCAACAAGCCATCATCCGTGGTGTTTGGAGAAGGGTCACCAGAGTCACGACGAATTGAGCAGTGATGTAATTTAAATCCACGGTACAGCTGGTCGTTTAGAGTCTATGGACAGAACGACAAGGGCAATCAAGGCTTGTTTAGCCTTGACTGCCCTTGCTGTTCTGTATTACGCTCTGCCTCCGCGGTGTTGAGCACTGTCAGCACACTGGGTACATCCTCCGGTGGTCTATAGACACAGTTTGGAAGTCATATGCAGCATGTTCCTGGACATCTAAAGATGTCCTTGGACATGAGCGAGTGAATGTAACCTGCATGTTGGCCTGTCTTGGTGTGCTCTATGATGTCGTGTTACCTCTTTCATGCAGACAATGTCGCTGGAAAGGCTGCTACCGATGCTGGTGATTCATCTTTATCATCCCTACAGCGGGTAAGGGATCCTTTCAACTTACTTCCCTCTTGCAGCCTCCGTTTTTTAATCCATACTCAACTGTTGCTGTGTGTCATGAAGCATGCTCTTGTTGACTCAGCTGTGTTTTAGTTGTGCGTACGACTATGCCACTTCATGTTCTTCTGTGACTTTGTGCTTACATGCACTTCTGTGTTACTGTGTGTGACGAAGCATGCTGTTGTTAGCCCAGCTGCACTTCAGTTGTGCTTGCGATTATGTGACTGTGTGGCTAGACAATATTTTATTGTCTAAGGTCCTCAGGCTGCGTACAGTGCTCTATGTCCAGTGGACACAGCCAGTAATACAATGATCACACAGCAATGAAGCAAACACATCTTTTTCCACCGTTGCTCGGAGTTTCGTGTGAAACAACTACTGTACAGGCAGAAAATTTCGTCGGTCAATAATTTCGTCCAACTCCAAAGAAAGGGAGTTTGTCCGGCTGTAAATTTCGTCCATGGATCATAAGAGTGTATTGAAAAGCTGGACAAATCGACATTCGTCCGGCATTTAATTTAGTCCAAAAGCTCCTTGGACGAAAAGACGAAATTAAATTCCAGACGAATATTTCTGCTTATACAGTATGTGACAATGTGACTATGTGGTTACATGTACTTGTGTGGTACTGTGTTCTTTGCACCTCTCCCAGTCGTACGTTGTCGGTCAAACGGACATTACCTTTCCTCGCCAAGAGCTTCTGCAGATCATCTACCGGCACTTGGTTGATGAAGGTATGCTGTGTGTAACTTGCACCTACAAAAAAGTGTCCGTGTATGCTGTGTGTAACTTGCATCTAGTGTCCATGTATGCTGTGTGTAACTTGCACCTAGTGTCCGTGTATGTTGTGTGTAACTTGCATCTAGTGTCCATGTATGCTGTGTGTAACTTGCATCTAGTGTCCATATATGCTGTGTGTAACTTGCATCTAGTGTCCGTGTATGCTGTGTGTAACTTGCATCTAGTGTCCGTGTATTCTAGTGACAGCAGCACATTCCTGTTCTTGGTCTGAGATGTTGCTCGTACCAAGTCAGATTTGGTCATGAAATCCTGCTGCAGGCTTCCGTGTTAAGAATTACTTGTATGATTTACCAGTAAAATATAGTGAGCATTGGGAGGTTTTATCCCTCTCATCCATTGTGCGTTGTGTATGTCAGGTCTACCGACAGCGGCATTGGCATTACAGATGGAAGCAAAGCTGCCTCCTGCTCCAGTAGTGCTAGCGAAATCCGTACCATCCACACCTAATGTGCCGAAGCACCAGACTCCAGTAGCAAGCCATGGTCCACTCAGAAAACGGGTGAGTTTCTGGTGCACTTCAGTCCAGTTTTTCTCTCTCTCTCTCTCTCTCTCTCTCTCTCTCTCTCTCTCTCTCTCTCTCTCTCTCTCTCTCTCTCTCTCTCTCTCTCTCTCTCTCTCTCTCACTCTCTCTCTCACACACACACACACACACACACACACACACACACACACACACACACACACACGCACTCTCTCACTCTCTTTCTTTCTGTCTCTCCCCCCCCCCCCCCCCCCTCTATTTGTCCATCTATTTCTATAATTATGATGATCGGAAAGTTTTAAAAACTCGTTTTTTCAGCTTGCGAGCTAGAGTACGTACATTATTGCGAACACTGTACAAATGCAATGGATACTTACACGTCGCAAGTTTATTCTGCTGTTTGTTTTTTCCACTGCACCACCACAGTCTGCAGCAAGTCAACCCGGTTCCAGTATCAAGCCAGGGAGGTCGGCCAGTGTCAGCGCATCGCCTGTCATTCGGCCGATCGTCACGCCGTCATCCGCCGCCGCGGCGTCCCAGAACATCCGCGTCGGCGATAACCGCCGCAAGGAGCCGCTGACCGTTTTCATCCCGCCATTGTCAGCTTCTGCAACACAGGTTAGCCAAGCAGAAGAGTGCTACATGTAGTGCAGTAATGTCAGGTGCCGAGGAACGAACAGGCAAGAATTTCACCAAGCACAGCATGTCGTCGTACGCACGGTGACTCCACTACGCATGGACTGCTGTGCGTGAAAATCAGCACAGCCTAGGCTAGGAGTAGGAGGTTGACCTCCCAGTTCCTCAGCACCCCACAGTGCTGTAGTCATTTTGATCACTATTTGATTGCCAGCATTTTGCTTCAGCTGCTATTCCTACTTCTATCACTGGCAATATTGATGTTGTGTGCAAAAACCATGTACATCATAGTACATAGAAGGTTTTTTGGCGGTTTTGACGGCCAACATTCATTAACATTTCAGCTCGCTCACCAAAGATAATCTGAAGATCGTTACTAGTATTTGACTTTGAAATTTATGGTCTTATAGTAGGCTCAAGAGTACATAACCCCCCAGAGTGTGCAACTCCCACATACCCTGCTGTCCCGACAGAATTTCAAGTTGACGTCATTATTTATGACGCAATGCTCCTTGCACCAGTGATTTACAACATGTGTACGGGTGTCAACGCATCACACGTTTTTCTTTGCAATAATTTGTACAGGATCGATGGGCTTCGGTCAACCACAGGTTCCGGATTCGTATGATAATCCGTGTACAGTGCGCATTGCATCATCAAAATGACGTCAACTTGAAATTCTGTCGGGACAGCACCCATAGTCGAGTTGCACACTTCGGGGGGTTATGTACTCTTGGTAGGCTGTAAGAACACATTTTGTGTATTGTTGTGGTCTTTGGCCATGCAGGAAGACTCTGCTCAATCCTTGGACAAGATTGTGACGCATTTCTTGCGTGACCAGCATCTGAAGTGTGCACACCCAATGGGCATCTGCCCTCCGTTCTCGCTGACAAAGTAAGGCTGATCTGTAGCTTGGTGCGTGTGCACATGTGTGTGTGTGTGTGTGTGTGTGTGTGTGTGTGTGTGTGTGTGTGTGTGTGTGTGTGTGTGTGTGTGTGTGTGTGTGTGTGTGTGTGTGTGTGTGTGTGTGTGTGTGTGTGTGTGTGTGTGTGTGTGTGTGTGTGTGTGTGTGTGTGTGTGTGTGTGTGTGTGTGTGTGTGTGTGTGTGTGTGTGTGTGTGTGTGTGTGTGTGTGTGTGTGTGTGTGTGTGTGTGTGTGTGTGTGTGTGTGTGTGTGTGTGTGTGTGTGTGTGTGTGTGTGTGTGTGTGTGTGTGTGTGTGTGTGTGTGTGTGTGTGTGTGTGTGTGTGTGTGTGTGTGTGTGTGTGTGTGTGTGTGTGTGTGTGTGTGTGTGTGTGTGTGTGTGTGTGTGTGTGTGTGTGTGTGTGTGTGTGTGTGTGTGTGTGTGTGTGTGTGTGTGTGTGTGTGTGTGTGTGTGTGTGTGTGTGTGTGTGTGTGTGTGTGTGTGTGTGTGTGTGTGTGTGTGTGTGTGTGTGTGTGTGTGTGTGTGTGTGTGTGTGTGTGTGTGTGTGTGTGTGTGTGTGTGTGTGTGTGTGTGTGTGTGTGTGTGTGTGTGTGTGTGTGTGTGTGTGTGTGTGTGTGTGTGTGTGTGTGTGTGTGTGTGTGTGTGTGTGTGTGTGTGTGTGTGTGTGTGTGTGTGTGTGTGTGTGTGTGTGTGTGTGTGTGTGTGTGTGTGTGTGTGTGTGTGTGTGTGTGTGTGTGTGTGTGTGTGTGTGTGTGTGTGTGTGTGTGTGTGCATGTGTGCATGTGTGTGCATGTGTGTGCATGTGTGTGTGTGTGGGGGGGGGGCTTTCCGGGGACGGGGAAGGCATCGCTGTTCAAAGGTGGCGCATAGACCAACAGCAGAGGAGCGCTCGGCCTTTCAGCACGTGTGCATATGCGGCAAGCGGATGCGACTACCCGTGCACCTGGAGCGTCATCGGGCGTCGTGTCCTCTCTCTCTCTCTTCTCAAGTTTCCCAGTGATGGGATCACGTGACCCTTTTGCGGCAGTGACTCTACAGGACAGGACAGGACAGGTGTGTGTGTGCGCGCGTGCGTGTGTGTGTGTGTGTGCGTACGTGTACGTATGTGCGCGTGTGTATGCCTGTGTGCTTCCGTGTGTGCGTACGTGTGTGTGTATGCGCTTATGTGTGTGTATGCGCTTGTGTGTGTGTGTGTGTGTGTGTGTGTGTGTGTGTGTATGCGCTTATGTGTGTGTGTGTGTGTGTGTGTATGCGCTTATGTGTGTGTGCATGTGTGTGTGTGTGTGTGTGTGCATGTGTGTGTGTGTGTGTATGCGCTCATGTGCGTGCGCGCGTGCGTGCGTGCGTGCGTGTGTGTGTGTGTGTGTGTGTGTGTGTGTGTGTGTGTGTGTGTGTGTGTGTGTGTGTGTGTGTACGCATTGTGTGGGTGGGTGCGCGTGTGTGGGTGTATGCATTTGAATATAAAATTTAATTAAAATGTTTGAATAAAAACGATTGTCCGCTAAGTAGTAGAGCAGGCTAGCTCGGCTCACCCACACTGACTCAGTACAAGCACCAACTGCCTACTGAGACTATACATGTACACAAAAGGATCCAATCATTTGACGGGAAAAATCTTTTGCCCGAATTAGGCGGGTCAACTTTTTCGGGGAAAAATATCGACTGGGTTAAGTAGCCCGACCGGGTGAACTGGCCTGACAGGGTAATCTGACCCGACCGGGTGAACTGGCCTGACAGGGTAAACTGACCCGACCGGGTAAACTGGCCCGACCGGGTGAACTGGCCCGACCGGGTGAACTGGCCCGACCGGGTAAACTGGCCTGACCGGGTGAACTGGCCCGACCGGGTGCTACAGCCCTGCTGTACCAGTATTGTGCATGTATAACTGTCCTATGCCCTGTGTTGCTGTGTTTCTGTACTACCACCACATGCAGAGGTCATCAGTGCCCTGTACCGCAGTTCCGTCGACACGCGCCCGTCAGCATAGCGCAGCGCTTGCAGCGTCGTCAGCTGACGGGAGGAGGCTGCGGCATCGGCCTCGGCAGCTCTGCGTACAACCGGCAGTTCATCTACAGCAGGTACCGGCCTGCCGCCGCTTGTCCACAGTCCCTGGACACGTTTTACTCGGCCGTAGCGTTCATGGTGAGTGCCAGCACGGTACATCCTCTATTTCTTTTCAGGGTCGGAGCACAGAAAACCGCTTTTTGTGAGACAGTGGCTTTTCTAGGCAGATCCTGAGATGTTGGTCTAGGTCTTTTATATACGGGTGGAATTTGATTGTGCAGTCTGCTGGTTTCAGCCACCACCTGGTCTATTTATCGGTTTTAGGGAAAGATGCGAACGAGAATAGTGTATAGAAATCTGGTCTATATGGCCTTCCTGTGGCATGTAATTTGTTGAATGTGCAATGGTTCAAAGTCTAAGACCGCGATAGGTTGATCCCATGGGTGGTTGGCAGCGATGGCTGACACCAGGCTTCACCTGTGATAGATTGATCCCATGGATGGTTGGCAGCGAGGACCTGTGCGCTGAGTTGCTGTTTGGGACCTGAGTTGATTAGACGCTACAGACAAGTGGTGTGTTGTTGCGGTGGTCGCCAAGGACACACCTTGCTCTGTATGTAGCTGAGACTGTATGTGTCTGAGAGTGTGTGTGGCGGAGACTGTGTGTGGCTGAGATTGGTGATTCATACTTCCACTGTAGAACCAGGACAACTAATTACTTGACATGTTAGTCGCATGGAGGAATGGGCTCTATCAGAATGGGTCGAATTTGTTGTTATTCTGGTGTGTTGATCACCATCGACACTTGTTACACTTCCACTGCCGTCCTCACTATTCTTGTCTCTCTAGTATTGCCCCGTTGGTCTGCTGTTCATTTTTGTTTTTCTTTTCGTTTTCGCAGCCGGATGATGAACACCTTCTACTTGGCTGCAACTCTGGAGAAATCTGCCTTTGCGTCGTACCCAAAGATCGCCAGACAGCTACGGTGAGAGTGGTTTTCCATGCAAAGCTGCATGAACTGTTCTCAATTGCTGCATCTTGACTCCTGGGTTGTGCATGTATGATTGTTTTGCACTGAGTGTACTGAATGCAATTCCAGCACAAGTTGCTGTGGCTTCTGATTTAGCATCGCGATGGGCGTCAAAGGTCAATGGTCCAGGTGTATGTGGGTGTGCGAGCTTGTGTGCACGTGTGTGAGTGTGTATGTGTGTATGTGTGTATGTGTGTGTGTGTGTGTGTGTGTGTGTGCGTGCGTGCGTGTGTGTGTGTGTGTGTGTGTGTGTGTGTGTGTGTGTGTGTGTGTGTGTGTGTGTGTGTGTGTGCGTGTGAGTGTGTGTGCGTGCCTGTGTGCGTATGTGGGCATATGTGTGTGTCTATGCACAGTAGGGAGAGAGGAAAAATATAGTTACAACTCATAGTTTCATGCCCTGGACGACCTTCAGGTGACTGGTAACCGGTGTGGGACTCTGCTTGTGTGCGTGTGTGAATGTGTATGTGCATTCCTACATGTGTGGTGGTGGGCATATATGTTGGCCTGTGCTGTAACAGATCGATGAATCATTTGGGTGTCATCATCATCAGTCTCATATCACCAACCTCGTCCCTTCAAAGGTACGTGTTGCTAAGTTTGTCCAGAAACAAAGGAATGAATTGCATGGATAGAGTTGCTTTTTTGCGTTCCTTCGACAGAATTGAGAGGGTACACTATAAAGTGATGCAACCTGCGGTGGAGAATGTGCTGTCAACTTTGCGAATATCGACCCTCGACTGGGCTTGAGAGAAATGTAACAATTCGCGAAATTGTGCGAGTGATTGTTATTCGCAAGCTGTTGTTTTTCCCATGGTTGTTATTCATGAGGTTGTCCGTAGACGCAAGAGAGGATTACGAAAGTAAGGTGAACATCACAAATTTCACATTAAAGTTCACATCCACTTTTTTATTCTCATGCTTACCCTATTCATATGCACGTATGGATCTCCGTAACACTGTCTGTATGTAATTGTCTGCAGGTTGAGATATAATTACTATTGTCACACTATTGTGTGTATAATTTGATTTATATTCCCGTGTTCGTCTTCTCTTTCATGCCGTGCACAGTCTGGGCGCTTGTTGCTGTCTTCGGCCTCCACAAGTGGACCAGGTCAAACCATCTTATGGTCACTGGACCCGCCAAAGACAATCACTTTCAAGTAAGTGGAGAGAGGAGTGGAGAGAGAGAGAGTGTGTGTGTATGTGTGTGCGAGAGAGAGAGAGAGTGTGTGTGTATGTGTGTGCGAGAGAGAGAGAGAGAGAGAGAGAGAGAGAGAGACGGAGAGACGGAGAGACGGAGAGAGAGAGAGAGAGAGAGAGAGAGACGGAGAGAGAGAGAGAGAGAGAGAGAGAGAGAGAGAGAGAGAGAGAGAGAGAGAGAGAGAGAGAGAGAGAGAGAGAGACGCAGACAGACAGACAGACCGACAGGCAGACAGGCAGGCAGACAAAGACAGACAGGGACAGAGACAGAGACAGAGACAGAGACAGAGAGAGGGGGGGGAGGGGGGGGGGGGTGCATTGTACAAGTACTGAAAACTGAAGCAGAGCAACAGAATTCTCTCCGGAATAAAGCCAGGTTGCACGCTCCAGGAATAAATAAAATCTGCATGAGTCGAAACTCGAGAGTCACCGCTGCTTAGTACAATGTATGCATTTGGTTTGGAATGATTACAGGCAGTCGTTCGAGAACGTCATCACAGCGGAATTTGCTAACCGGTCTGAAGATCGCTTCATTGCGACATATCCAGATAGCGCAAAGGTATGTAAAACTTAAAAAAAAAAAGAGGACCAACAGTGTTTACATGTTATCCGTTATTTGTCCAACGCTAACAATTGTAACTTTTTTTTATATAAACAAGATACTAGAACTGTATGTAAACTTGACCCTCCTCTCATGCATGATCGAGGGTCGCTCTTCGCCAGTTTGACTGTACTCATGCTGTACTCATAGTATGCAGGGATGTGCGAGTGCTATCATGTACGGTTACTTGTCGCATGTTACCTGGAATATGGCCTGGTAGTCGTTGCAAGTATCTGTTCATCATTTTCCAGTGCAGACACCACTTATACCGAGTACTGGGTTCCAAGACTGTATGTAACCTTCATTCTCCACCGCAAAATAGGCTGTTTGCTAATTGCCTCATTATGCTGTATTCTGAGTGGAGTACAATCAGAGTTCTAGCCAAAGGAGAGTAGGGGGGGGGGGGGCTCCCCCCCCCCCTCCCCTCCCCCTACTCTGATTTAGTGACCCCTGTGAAAATGTCCCCCCTCTCCCTCCCCATCCACACACACTCATTTGTCGATTTCTTTGTTTTATCAGGCAATTCAACAAAAATGCAGTCGATAGTCACTAACAGAGGTGTCATAAGGCACACTTGCCTGGGATTCACTCCCATACGTTGTATTTTGTATGGCCAGGACCATTTTGGAAAATGGGTTACGGGGTACCGTAATTCCGCGCATATAAGCCCATGGGCCTATATCCGGATATAAGCCCACCTCCGTTTATAAGCCCATGGGCTAATAAACAGACACAAATGCAACTCGCGTGTCAAGTAGAATTTTTCACAATATGGACTCTTCCTACCATGGTACAGCAGGTCAGTGCAGTTTACCAGTAGAGTATGGTAGACCCACTATGACCACGAACTTGTACTTTTTCGTGAACCTTCACAATTCGAATATTGGCCCATGGGCTAGAAAACGAACATGTTCTACTGGATATTTTATCCCCAAACTGCATTATTTCACATATAAGCCCATGGGCTTATATGCGCGGAATTATGGTAACTGTTTGAAGTCTGTTTCCCCTGCCCACCCCCTACTATTTTGACCTGGCTAGAACCCTGACCATGTATACGTTTTTGTATTTAGGCCTTAGCATCAGGCTAGATATGTTCTTATTTTTCCAGGCTGGTCACTCTTGAGAGGGACTTTCCCAGTACCGTGTACATAGTGTATGTTCGCTTGTATGCATGCACACAGTGTAATGTGTTATATTTGTCACTCATTGGCCTGAGTTCATCTCCTTCTGCCCAGGTACACGATACGGAAACAGGTGCGATCATATACGAGCTGGCGGACTCAGCAGACGGGTAAGTAGGTGACAAGGAACAAGAGCAGTAGTAGTAGTAGCACCACAAGCTGACTAATTGTCAAAAGGGCTGAAACAATTATACCGATAACTCGCATATCGATCGTTAAGAGTGCAATCGATAATCGTTAGTGTTCAAAACGAGTGCTAACGATTTTTTTATGCATGCATATCAGTGACAGCTTTCTAGCCCTTGCACTCCATCCGATAGTGAATACGAGTACAATCATGTACTTTCAAGCACAATACAATTGATGTGTGGCTTTGAAAGAGATTGGGAGATAAGGCTTTGCCTTTTTGGTGCAATTCTGGGAGAGGTCGGAGATAAGAGCAGTTGCCAGAGGGTGATGACAAGATTCAGATGTCAACAGTGCGGTGCCACAAATCTCTAACATTGCAGAGGTATCATGGAATTTCTTCCTAAACTGGTGTTCGAGGTACACGGGTAGAGCCAGCAAGAATCGATAAAACCAATAAATCGATCGTTAATGATATTGGTTGATCGTTAGGAGTTATTGAATGATCGTTTCAGCCCTAGCTCAGCCTCAATGAAAGCATATCGCATGAGCGCTGTGCAGCCCTGTAGAACTGCGAACACTAGCATGTGAGGGGGTACATTGCGCACACTTGACTCTAGCGATGATCAGATTTCATTGAGCCGCACTGTACTTGTACTTGTACTGTAGGATATGCAGTGCACCAATCCAGTGAAAACGTATTGCTGTAGTGTGTGCTAATCACTGTAATAAGTGTACTAAGTGTCCTCGTGTGTATTGTTGATAACGTTTTGTGCAGTCGCCATGCTAGCTTCAACTTTGCCTCGTTTCATCCATCCGACGACCTAGTGCTGAGTAGTGGCTGTCTGTGGGATGTGCGCGGGCCTTCCGTCCGCTCAATCCGCCAGTTCGACAGTCTCAACTCGTTCGGATGCGGCCTCTTCCACCCCAAGTCCGGTGTAGAAGTGATCATCAACTCGGAAATTGTATCCTCACCATTGCTGGGACATGTTGGGTGTGTGTGCTGGCTTGGGCTTATGTGTGTGTGTGTGGGGGGGGGGGGGGGGGTAACTGGACCGGGTCTTGTACCGGACTTGTTTTACTGTGCAGCTTGACTTTTGCTGTGTTTCATACCAATGTGGTTTGTAGTGGCGGTCGGTTTCATTGGTTTTTTTTTGTGACTGATGACACGCATTGCTTCAAGTTGCTGGCCATGTGTGGCTGAGATAATTTGCTCGTTGAACAGTCTGATCCACTTTCTAGTCCAAAGAATCTGCTTATTTTCATTAGGCGAGGGATTTGAAAAGGGAATGCTTATTATTAGAATTCACAGCGCCTTGCTCTCGGTAGTATAGCGGGGACATGTCTGGTGGATGAAAGTGATTTCTCCTTGACGTTGACGCTTGCAGTGGGACTTGCGTACGTTCAACCTTCTCTCTACCTGTCCACAGCTGGACAAGTGTCACCTGAGATTCAACCATGCCGGTGATGTCATCTTCGGAGGTTAGTCACTTGTCACACTGTGTACGCATCTGTAGTGGCGGCCTGACTAATGGCGAAGTTCAGATCACAGTTTTTGTCTTGCTTGAAGACCGAGTTCAGACTTCAGACCACATTTAAATCTTGCCATCTTAAAGCCGTTGCAGCTTGTAAGTATGTCACCGTAGAATATCACAGGCTTCTGCATGAGACATGCATTTGTACAAGGTAGGCTGTGTGTCAACACAACCCCGTGGCAACAGCTGTGGCCACCAGTATCTCAGCTTCTTGTAAGAACAATTGGTATTTGCTGGCGCCCCTGATGGTCTGGGGCTACCTTAGTCTTGGCACCATTTGTCATCTGAAGAGTGTTCTATTCATATTTTGAGTGATGATGATGAATCCATGCGTGTGTGCTTGTGTGCAGTTCGGCAGTATGATGACTCTGCAAGTAGCATGTCTGGAGCCCAGGACAGCGAGCTGCAAGTTGTTGATGGCTTCACTTACCAGCCAATCGGTACGCGAGTTGTTGCCTTGTTTGTTGTTTGACATTTTCGTGCTCGCCTTGTGGCTCTGACTGTTGTTGCTGCTGCTGTTGCTGGTGGTGGTGGAGATCGTCGTCGTTGTCGCCGTGCTCGTTCTTGTTCTTCCTCTGTAACCCCCCCCCCCCCCCCGAGCAGTGTGAGCCTGTGTGTATATGTATATGTGTGTGTGTGTGTGCGTATGTGCGTATATGTGCGTGCGCACATACGTGCGTGCATGCGCATATGTGCGTGCGTGGGTGTGCGCGTGTTTGCATGTGTGTGTGCACTGGTGCAGACGTGTGTGGTTAATACTTCGAAGTAGTTATGTTTTAAAATACTTCGAAGTACATGTATACACCGTACGATGATTTGCGCCCGTGCCTGCGTGCTTCAGTATACCTCTTTTAAAAGTATTTGTATTATTGTGTTGATGAGTGTTTGGATGTGCTACATTGGATACATGCACACCCGGGTCCATGCACACCCGGGTCCATGCACACCCGGGTCCATTTGCTCAATACTGGTTAGTGCGCTGTACTGCTGGTTTTCTTCTGGCACAAGTATGCAGGCATGTTGTATTGCTCATCCCGTCTGTTTTTTCTTTCTTTCCGGTACTCTCCCTATGCGTATTGCTCATCCCGTTTGCTTTTCTTTCCCGTCACCCCCCCCCCCCCCCTGCATTGTAGCATCTGTACCGAAGAAGCGGCAGCTGTTTGATTTCAACATCTCCTGGGATGATAGTTGTCTAGCTGTTGTCGAGGTGAGTCTGGTCACGTACACGGTACGCAACATACTTTGTGGCTGCCTTTGCCACTCAGTTTCAGTCCGCGAAAGGAATTCTGTATGCACTTCTTGTGTGTAAGTCGGTTGCGCGTCTATCACATGACGGCCATACGGCGCACCCATGTTGGTTCCGGCTCCAATTAATCCCTCCATCGGTGGGTCACTTGATCTGTCCACACACCGTGTAGGCGTGTACACTTCCTACACGAATGCAGTCATGTGAGAACTCTTTGTTCAAGAAAGATTTGATGATGATGATCATCGCAAGTTCCTGATATGTTGAATCATGCTATTGTGATATTTGTATGGGGGTCTACACCCCCTGGGCTTTTCTGGATCCTGGATGATGAAATGAGCAAATGCCATTTTTAATGAATTCTGGAGAAATAAAACCCATCTTTCATCAGGATTCTAACGTTGGTCTCTTAATGAATCTGTCCTCAAGAGGCAGAGATGTTGAAAATGACTGCTTGCTTGATATCTAGGTACTTTGTGGCACTCAATCTCTGGACAGCTAGCCGTTTCGACCTTGTTAGGTCTCGTCAGCAGAGCTCAGAGTTACTTTAGTACTGCCCGAACCGGCATATTATACTGACCGGCCCAGTATTACCCACCACACCGCCACCACAATCATCAGCACCACCACCACGGCCGCCGCAGCCGCCGCCAGCAGCACCAGCACCACCCCCACAATCATCAGCACCACCACCAGTACCACCACCAGTACCACCACCACCACTCCCTGATCACTCCTGGTCAGCTGCAGTATGACCAGCCCAGTATTACCAAGAGTAGATTAACTCCCAAGAGTGTGCCACACCACATGATGTGAGTTTTCGTCGGTGGTGGACCCCATAGAAAGGGTATCCAGAGGTGCACACTCTTGGGAGCTGATGTACTGTATGTATTACTCACTGCCACTCCCTGATCACTTGTGGGCAGATGCAGAAATACTGTGTGGCTGGATAACACCACACACCGATCAAATATAAAATTGCATGGATGAACTCTATGTATTGTTGAAGACGACTTCTTATTTCCTCAGTGAGTCAGCTGAGCTGGGATGTGGCCAATGATACTGGTAACATACTGATGTCACGAACGTACTGTGTGCGCTCGTTTCTCTCCTTTGTTTCTTTACGTACAGAACTATTCTGATGCGGATTGGATGAACAGCGGGTCCGATTGTAGGTTGTATATGATTGGGCAGCAAAGCAACTGGATGAATGATCTCGACGACGAGGTAAAACACATGTTCACGATCATTCGGGCGTGCATGCATTGGTGTGCATTGGTGTGTGTGTGTGTGTGTGTGTGTGTGTGTGTGTGTTTGTGTGTGTGTGTGTGTGTGTGTTTGTGTGTCTGTCTATCTCTGTGTATGTGCGTGTGTCCCAAAGTTGCTGTGTCTAACATAGCTTTTTCGCGATCATCGCTTCAGCATGTGGAAATGGAAGTGCATGTTTGCTTTGGTATGGTGTTTCTGTTACAGGATGAGAGTGATGACGGTGGTGGTGTGGATAGTGATGATGAGACCAGCAGTGATGATGTGAGTAGCGACATGAGTGACGATATGGATGGCCTCGATGGGAATGACGAAGATGACATGCCAATGTTTTTTAGAGGTAGCGGCGAAGAAGAAGAAGATGATGATGCTGACGACGATGATGATGATGATGCTGACGATGATGATGACGCTGCCTCTTCACCAGGATCTGCGGATAGTGGCACATCCGAACCGGCATCATCGGATGATGACAATGATTCATCATCAGGTCCGTCGAACGGCGGCAATACGGGACGTCGCAACAGATCTCGTGCTGCCAACAGCTCCGCAGCACGTGCCCGTATCAGAACTGCTACTGCTGCTGCTGCCGTGGATAATGACTCTGACGACGGAGAAGACTCCGAGTTCGACGGAGGTGATGCCATGCGTGCTGCGCTGGATGCTTTGGACAATGACGACGTGGAGACTCTTGAACAGTTATTGCGGAGTGGACGAACAGGTAGGCTGGGTGCTGCCGCTGCTGCTGCTGCAAGGGGTAGCTTTTCACAGTCCTGACCCTGGTTTGTTTGGGGTTGAAGCCATGGCCTGCTGCTCCCTTGATGAAGATTTTGTTTGTGTGAAACACCAGTGTGTGTGTGTGATATTGTGTGGAGTACAACATATCTGCTGTGAGACCGGATGGTCATGGTATCTGAAAGCTGCAGCAGCGAATGCACTTGCTACATCACCAGCATTAAAAAAATACATTTGTCTGTTTCTTTGTTTGTGCGTGTGTCGTGCATGCGTGTGCGTCCAGCGCACTTTGGCCGAAGGAACAGAGCACCACGTCGAGGTCGACGGCACCAAGGCTGAGCTGTTCAGGCTGTCACCAGAAGACTGTAGATAATGAGAAGAATCACTCGGCCCTGGCACTGTGGAAGTATCGTTAATGGTGTAGTGTGTTCCCCCGTTTCGTCCGTGGCTGGCAGGGGTATCTTTTGGGTTAGCTGTTGTACCTCCCATCGATTTCACACACAAGTATCCACCTTGTCTTTTTAGCTTGCTGCAACTGTCGTGTTGGCCAGCATGGTTCACATCGGTCTGACACTATTGTGCGATTGTGTGGTGTATCCTGATTGCTTGGGGTGCGTGCGTGTGTGTGTGTGTGTGTGCGGTGTGTGTGCGTGCGCCACGTTATGGCCGTATCCACCATGTCCTTATCGCTTGTACATGAGAGCGAACAAATCCTAAACCTACCATGTCCTCACCGCTTTCGCGTGCGAGTAAGCGAACCCTTAAGTTTTAAAGTGGCCAATGTCCACTGATTGCTGTGTGTGTGTGTGTGTTCGGATTTCTTTTTTCTTCTTCTTTTTACGGGTTTCTGTTATTCGTACAGCTGCTGCTGCTGCTCTTTGTTATACTAGTGATGATGCTTGACCGTCTTGTGTTATAGCATGCTGTTCAATTCTTCTTTGTTTTTACTTGCCAGACCAGAGTGTACCCTCTCAACAAGCAGAGGCGTTCCAACCCGTTGCTAAGCTGTCACGGCGTGCTGCAATCACTCTGCTGACGTGCTGTCTGTATGCGGTGCACGTGTGTGATATTGGTGCGAATAGGCTTAGCGGAGTCGGGACTGCAGGACGGCTTTGGCCGGGGAGGGGGGGGGGGCATGCGTAGAGTTCGTGTGAGAGCTGCTGCGTTTCCATCATGTAGAGGAAACCTGTGCTGCTCTACTTTCACGTATAGAATTCACGTGGAATGTGAAGTGGGAAATTTTCCCTTCCAAATTTGGCAGTTTTCTGCTGCATTTGTATGATGCAGATCCGTACGCGTTTATTTGCGTATGCCCCCAAGGTAGAGAACCTCATCTACGCGTAGAAATCTGGACCCTACACATGTGAAGCCATAGACTCAGGCTGCGTTTACATGACAACGAAGTACGACCGAAACGGAACAAAATCGTTGAGTTTACTACTATCGTTTACACTACTATGCACGAAAATGCACCCGAAACGGAACGAAATGGAAACGCACTTCAAAGTGTTTTGAAACGTTTTCAAAACGTTTTCGTTCTCGTGTAAACGGTGAAAACAATTAGAAACAGAACGCGGTCATGGAAACCATTTCGCGTGTACAAACTATGTGCACTAACCTGTCCCCGTGGAAAATCGCGGAAAAATCCCAGAATTTGTGGTGTAATTTGCGGGTAAATATGGCATAATTTGCGGTAAATATGCGGTGAATACTATTGATATGCGGCAAGTTTGCAGTTGATATGAGGCAATTTTCAGTATGTAGTGAAATCAATCAGTTTCAAGTCTCTGGTGTAAGCACTCATCATATTTGAGTACAAAGCCGCCACGATGAGACGTTGCTGACCGAACAGTGCACTGTGTGTACGTGTAGTGCAACAAAAAAGTTCAAAAAAAAAGCAGGAAAATCGCGGAAAACGCGGTCTTTTAAAACGCGGAAAAAACGCGGCTGCGGAATCGCGATTTTCTCCGGGGACAGACTAACAGAGTTCATGAGCTAGCCAGCTCCAACTAACGTGTTACTTCCCAACCTTGCGCCAGGCCAGCGCGTCCCCACCTGATCGTCCGTTTTCGTGTAAACGGTTGAAAACGATTTGTCGTTCTCGTGTAAATGGTTTGAAAGCGATTCGAGGGCAGCACGTTTCGGTTCCGAAGGTGTCAAAGGTTCAAAAGAAGGTCACCACACGATTTCTGCACAAACATGCACTGATTTTCCTTGTATACAGTGTACAGGAGGTACTGTACTGTAGTTTTTACAGTCGGCTAGTTGTGTGTCTACTTGGCTCCCAGCAGGTGCCACTGCAAGTCCATAATAGGCCACAGACTGCGCTTGAGCGTGGCTATTCACGGCCAAGGTGTGCAGAAGTAGTCTTGGGCAGTTTGGGGTGCAAACTGCGCAGTGCAAAAAGCTGTGGGCGTGCCAATTGTGGTGACTGCACAGCAAATATGCGTACAGTCATGTACTTAGTAGGGCACATGCACAGAGTGTGCTTCAAGAGGAACTGTGAGCTGGTATAAGAATCCTTCGACACCTTCGTTCATTTATATGAAGGTTCGTGTGGCAAATTGAGGCCTTCGTTTCACGCCTAGGACTCTCCATGTAAATGCAGCCTCAACCCAGACACCTGTTTTCTATGTGATTTCTCTACATTCCATGCAGAACCTCACTATATTCACTATAATTATTCACTATATTCATGGTCACTATTAGTGAGGTTCTGTGAATACTAGTACTAGTACTAGTAGTGACTTTCTGCATGGAATGTAGAAAATCACGGAAGGCGGGTGTCTGGGTTAGAGTCTACGGCTTCGCTTGTTTTGGGTCCAGCCTGATGATTTCTACGCGGAGATGTACTGAGGTTCTCTTCGTTGTGGCACTTGCAAAGAAAGTGCGTACGGAGCTGAATCATACAAATGCAGCAGAAAACCGCCGAATTTGGAAGGGGAAATTTCCACTACACATCCCACGTGATTTCTTCACCAATACATCAGCAATAGTCCAATACAGTCAGACCTCGCTTAACCGCACACATCCGTTTTCCAAAAAAATATCCGGATAGGCGAGGGAACCGGATAACCGAACACCGTTTATGTTGGATGCATCACGTATGCTGTAAATATGTAACCAGCTTTTTTCTTCCGGATGGCGAGGGATCCGGATAAACGAGGACCGGATAAGCGAGGTCTGACTGTACAGTACAGTCAACTTCGCTAATAACGACTTCGGATCTAACGACAATTCGCGAATAACGACAGAATTCCCATGCCCAGAGCAAAGTCCCATCCTACTGTAATACATATAATGAGACTTCGCGAATAAGGACACTTTTCTGATGCCCCACCGAGTGTCGTTATAAGCGAACTTGACTGTACATGTAGTTTCGCAATCTATACCTTCGCATGCAAAGACGACGACTAGACGCAAATCCACGCCATCAGGTACATGCAGACACTTCCTTCTATCAAACGTTAACGGCTTTGCATGGCATGCGAAGGTACGCACATGTATAGACTGCGAAACTATTTTCACCGCTTCCAAACTACCGCTTGAATAGTCCAATACAGCAATACAGTCAGACCTCACTTAACCGCACACATTCGTTTTCAACAGAAGTATCCGGATAGGCGAGGGAACCGGAAAATCGAACACACATACAGTATGGATGCATCAGTGGCACATGCTGAAGATCAGTAACCAGCGATTTTTTCTTCCGGATGGCGAGTGATCCGGATAAAAGAGAACCGGATAAGCGAGGTCTGACTGTACCCCATACATAATCATGATGGCGGCTCCTAAAATTGTGTCTCCAATGATTTTTTTAACTTTTTCAATAATAATAATTATTATGTGTTGTGCAAGTCTTGAAAAAGATTGCGTATCGGAGCGTCAGCTTCGATATAACAGTGTATTGCCTATGACGTCAGTCATTTCCTTCAACCCAGACCGGTCTTCAAAGTGCAAAAAATAAAATCCAGGCCCAACCCAGGATCATCGCCTTTTTTATTTCCGCTCAACCCTAGATAGGTTTGCTTTTCAGCGTTTTGTTTGTCAGGTTTTACAGTAGTTACCGTTTACCGTAGTATTTACTATAGCGATGGAGGACAGTACTGCGCTCGTTTCTGCCGTTTCCTCGGCCGTGCAGGGTTTGTTGGGCCCGCTGGAGGATCGGCTCAGCGCCCTTGAGGCTTCATTGCAGAGTCGCCGAACTGGTCCAGCGGACAGTTCGGCACCGACTCCGGGCACTTCAGCCAGCATGTCTGGTGAAGCTGACCCTACAGACTCTTCGAGTGGGCAGGTCCCATCGAACGAGGTTGTGGACGAGCCGAAGCATGCTTCGGTGACTCCCGAGATTGCAGAATTCCTGGAGAAGGAATTTAGAGTTGGTCTGAAGACCAAGGACCGGAAGGAGATCCTGGACAGGTTTCCCCGGCCAAACACCGAGGTAGCTGTGACCCCGAAAATGGATTCGGAGCTGTTGGAGTTCCCTGGGCTGGCGTCCTCGTACAAAAAAGGCGTGGACACCAACTTGTTCTCAGTCCAGAGTAGCGTTTTGGACTGCCTGGGCCCGCTAACCGAACTGTGGATGGAGGCGCAGCGGGCCCTCGATGCTGATTCGGGTCTTGACCCGCAAGCTGTGCTGGAGCTGATACCAGTTGCACTGCGCCTTTTGGGCAACGCACACCATAAGCTGTCCTCGCAGCGCCGGCATGCTTTTCTGGAGCACCTGGATAAGGGTTTGACTGGCATGGCGGATGCCCCTTATTTGCAGGCTGGCACAGCTCTATTTGGGCCAGAGTTTTTGGCCCAAATGCAGGGCAAAGCTGACTCCCAGAAAGCTCTGGCTGATGTGTTGCGTCGCTACCGTGATGCCCGTGGCGGCACTAAGCCTCGCTCCCACTCAGCTAGTACCTCAGCCGCAACGGGTGGTGGTCAGTTTTTTCGGCGTTCCGGGACTGGCAAGTACGGCGGCAGCTCCCGGTATCAGCCCTACCGCAGCCCGTACACCAACACCCCCGCAGGCCGCAGTCCGTATCGCGGCGGCAGCTCTCACTCCTCTCCGATGTCCCGAGGCGGAGCCTCCAGCCAGTCCAGCTCCCACCGGAAGGGCAGTCGGTCCTAGAGACCTTCCTCCCGTCAGCTCTACGGGAAGTGGTGCCCGACGAGATCCTCCGCGCCGGGTCTTCATTGCCCTCCTGGCGGATGCCATTCGTGATATCGGCAGAGGAGATGGCCATCCCACACGGGGGTCGGCTTCGCCATTTTTACGAACGGTGGACGCTGCTGTCGTCCGATCCATGGGTCCTACAGTCAGTTCGTGGGGTCCACCTCGACCTCCTGAGTGTTCCAGTTCAGTCTACATGGCCTCATCCACGCCCATTGACAGCGGCGGAGACTGCGGCTGTGTCAGAGGAAGTCAGTTCCTTGGTGCAGAAGGAGGCGATTTACGCCCTCCCCAGCAACACTCCACCCGGTTGGGTCAGCTCCATCTTCGTGGTTCCGAAGGCTGGTGGGAAGCTGCGCCCGGTGGTCGACTTGCGGGCCCTGAACGGATATGTCCCGTATCATCATTTCAAGATGGAGGGCATCGGCACCCTCCGGGACTTGCTCCAGCCTGGGGACTTCCTCACCCGGCTGGATCTGAAGGATGCGTACCTCACAGTGGCGATGAGGGCCAGCGATCGTCGTTTCCTTCGTTTCAGCTGGCAGGGAGTTCTGTACGAGTTCCGGTCACTCCCATTCGGCCTGTCGTCAGCCCCCTGGACATTCACCAACTCCTCCATCCGGTGGTGGCGACACTTCGCCAATTCGGAATCCGAGTGATCATCTATTTGGACGATCTGCTCATCCTGGCGCATTCGTTGCTGGCCGCTCGGGAAGCTACGGCGTCGGTTGTGCACCTGCTCTGCAGCCTCGGCTTTGTAATCAACTTCAGCAAGTCGTGCCTGGTCCCTTCTCAGGAGATCACGTTTCTGGGTTTCCTGGTGTGTTCGACGACCATGACAATCCAGATCTCACAGGATCCCCGGGACAAGCTTCTGCGGACCTGCCGCCAGCTACTTCAGGCGGATCGCACAACTGTCCGCGAGGTTGCCAGCGTGGTGGGCATGATGCAGTCAGCGTGGCCGGGAGTGTTGCCAGCACCTCTCCATCTCCGGGGCTTGCAAGATTTGAAGAATTCCGCTCGCCACGCAGCATTGGCATGGGAGTCTGCTCTGATTCTGAACTCTGCGTCCAAGGAGGATCTCCGCTGGTGGGTTCGTTTTCTGGACTCCTGGAACGGTCGTCCCGTGAAGGTCGAGTGTCCAGTGCTGACGATTGCCTCGGATGCCTCGTCCCAAGGGGGCGGCGGAGGTTGGGGCGCAGTCTGCGGGACGCAGACAACGGGTGGTCGTTGGTCTGCCGCGGAATCTCGGCTCCACATCAATGCTCTGGAGCTCCTGGCCGGGACATTTGCTGTCCAGTGCTTTGCCCGTCATGTCCAGAAGGGTCTTGTGTTGCTTCAGATGGACAATCAGTGTGCTGTCGCGTACGTGAACCGCATGGGCGGCACTCGGAGCCAGCGGTTGAATTCGCTAGCCGCGGACCTGTGGCACTGGTGCCTGGCCCGCCAAATCACCATTCGTGCCGAGTACATTCCCGGGGCCCTCAATGTCATAGCCGATTTCTGGTCTCGCAATCACAGTTCCTCAGAGTGGCATCTGCTTCCTCAGGCGTTTGCCTTGCTGAAGACCCGATATGGAGGTTGCCACGTGGATCTCTTTGCCACTCGGATCAACACGCAGCTACCGGACTTTGTTTCATGGCATCCGGACCCACAGGCGGTGGCGACGGATGCGTTCTCTCAGCCGTGGCAGGAGATGGACGGGTATGCGTTTCCTCCCTTCTGCCTGATCGGCAAGGTCCTACGGCAGGTTCAGACTCAAGCTGTCCCTCGGTTGCTCCTGGTCACCCCATTGTGGCGCGGGGCCTCGTGGTTCCCAATGCTGCTCCAGATGGTGTCGGAGGCGCCGACGTTGCTACCACACGACAGGTCCCTGTTGACGGATCCTCTCGGCAATCCTCACCCATTGATGGCCAATGCCCGCCTCCGCTTGGTCGCGTGGCCCATCTCCGGCATTCCTACTCTATGTCAGGGTTTTCTGCAGCAGTGTCCGACCTCCTCGTTGCCTCCTGGCGGACCAACACCTCCCGTCACTATGACAGCGCTTGGGCACTGTGGAGTCGCTGGTGTGCGCAGCGGTCGATCGATCCGCTTCGCCCCGCACTGACTCGTGTTCTCGAGTTCTTGTCCGACCAGTTCCAGGACGGTCGCGCGTTCCGCACTATTTCTGGCTACCGGTCCGCTCTCTCTACCATGCTCCCTCCCGTCGACGGCACATCAGTTGGCTCTCACCCTACTGTGGTTCGGCTGCTCCGTGGTGCGTACAATCTCCGCCCGCCTGCGCCTCGCTACACCTTCACATGGGATGTTCAGCTGGTGTTGGATTTCTTGCGGTCATGGCCAGATGTGTCCGTTCTCAGTGACAAGCAGCTTACTCTGCGCCTTGCTATGCTCCTGGCGCTTTCTGGTGCATATCGTTGTGGCGAGCTTTGTCTGCTCTCAAGTGTCTTTTCCCAGCTCTCCGATGGCTCTGTCCGGCTCCCGCTACTTGGTACTCGGAAGACCCAGCGTGTTGGTGAGCCTCTGCAGACGGTCCAGGTGTGCCCGTTCTCTGTTGCTGCCCTGTGTCCTGTTCAGCATCTGCTTGAGTATGGCCGTCGATCTGCCGTGTGGCGGCTAGATGGCTCTGGTCCTTTGCTGCTCTCGTTTCGTAAGCCGCATAAGCCTGTCTCTTCTCCCACCGTTGCCCGTTGGTTGAAGGAGGTGCTTGGTCTCGCTGGCATTGATACTGCTCAGTTCTCGGCTCATTCTTCCCGTGGCGCGGCCACATCTGCTGCTGCCCGTGCCGGTGTCTCTACTGCTGTTATCTTGGCAGCTGCTGATTGGAAGCGTGCTACTACATTTCGCCGCTTCTACTGCCGTGATGTCACCCCGCCGGCTGACTGCTTTAGTGCTGCGGTTCTGCGCTCTGCTACCGCTTAAGTGTGTCCTGCGGCTTTGCACCTGGCGCTGCCCATGCTGGCATGGCTTTTTCTTTCGTTGTGTGCGTCTCTGACCTCTGCATTGTGTGATCAGGTCTGTTGACTACATGCTTTGTTGACACGTCTTGTTCTTTATTTATACTTCGGCGTGCTTTCGGTGCGCCTTTCAGTTTCGCCTTCCTTCTCGTTGGACTTGGCCTATTTCCATACTTGGCATGGTTTCTTTTGCATCTCCCGTCCCTACCGGGTTTGCTATTATCCACTTTATGTCCTCGGTTTAGTGTTTGGGCTATGGCTTGCTATTTGCTTTCATATATCATGGCTCTGATAATATTGTCCCGCTTCACTCCGGTGTGGCGCATGGTCACCTTTGCTCCTCATTGGTGGTCTGGATTTATAGTGCTGGGGTTTGTTCAGCGCTTTTAACAATACACTGTTATATCGAAGCTGACGCTCCGATACGCAATTGCCCATTTCGCTAGCAATGGTACATTGCGACGGGAAGTGGGAGTTGTGTGAGGAGCGGAAGCGAGATATAACAGTGTCCCACCCGGCCCTTCCCTTTCTCTTGTCATAAATTAATGATCATAGGGTTTCGCTTCAATAACAGGCGATGATCCTGGGTTGGGCCTGGATTTTATTTTTTGCACTTTGAAGACCGGTCTGGGTTGAAGGAAATGACTGACGTCATAGGCAATACACTGTTATATCTCGCTTCCGCTCCTCACACAACTCCCACTTCCCGTCGCAATGTACCATTGCTAGCGAAATGGGCAATGATACATGATGATTGATGAGCGACTTACAATACATTGTTCAAAATCCGGCCACGTGTTATACCATTCCGATCCAGATTGTAGTATTTCAGCAGCATGATGATTGACTGGATTTATCTCCAGAACCTCTAATAAAATTGTGGCGAGTACGAGACGTACAGGAAGTAATAAACGACTCCCTAGATCCCTGGTCTTGAGTCTCTTGACTCCATTCGTGGCCGTGTGGGTTGGATTTCTTTGACCACGACTCGTAATCTCGCCGCATTGACAAAAAAAGCTTCCAAAAATGTCTCGAAAACTACGTCACGATCGATCATCGTTCTGATGAGCCGTGCATGCAGCATGGTCTCTCTTGGCGAGTCTTGCCAGTCTTGCCAGTCTCTCGTCACTTGCCAGTCGACCATGGTCGTAGTCATGTCAGCTCAGCGCATGCAGCGTAGATGCCACAGCGGGCATACATACCGTAGATCTACACGTCATGCAGTGATCATCAAGGTGTTCTTCACGATCGTAGATCTACGATAACTCAACTGCGTGCTGCAAAAATCCATCCTTGATTGAAATAATCATTCCTTGTTTTTCAAGTAACATTGTTTGTTGGTAGACCTACATGGTGCAGGTGGGTAGGAGTATCCTGGTGACTTTGACTTTACGAGCAAGAAGTTACAGGTGAAGGTCCCAGGAGGAGATGGAGATGAGCATATGAGTTGATGGTGAAAATATTTCCCCAGAGCAATGTTTGGCCGATTTGCTTCGTTGACCCTTGGTGCATTCTGCGTAGGATACACTGCTGTATCAGTTCTCATTCATCTTGTTCTCTTCGTATATCAGGAGCCAGCCAGTATAGCTCAGTATAAGCCAGTTATAAACGCTGAAGATTCACCCGTATCACAAGCTGGAGTTTTGCCTACTGATAGCGTGATCGATGGAGGACCGATCCGTGAAGTTGACGTTGATACCGTCCCAACGTTAGATGAATTAATTCCTCATATCGTACCGTCAGGTGTACAGCCTGGTGGACTGTGGCATCCTCCTGTTGGATCAAAAATTGGATGTGGTGGAAACACGCGCAAGTCTCGAGTAGCCATTCTCATACCCTATAGGAATAGGCCTGATCATCTTCCCATTTTTCTCAAATACATCCATCCGTTTATGCAGAGACAGAACCTGGATTATGGCGTATATGTTGTAGAGCAGGACGATGATCTTGCATTCAACCGTGCTGAGCTGTTTAATGTGGGATTCCTGGAAGCCCAGCTCGACCAGCCCTACTCATGCTATGTATTCCATGATGTTGATCATGTGCCATCAGATGATCGCAATAGTTACTGCTGCGGCGACGAGCCACGGCATCTATCAACGAACGTGGACCGGTGGGATTACAAGCTGCTGTACGATCAGTTCCTGGGCGGCGTGACGCAGTTCGGCGACTCGCACGTGTATGCCATGAACGGTATGTCCAATGCTTACTGGGGTTGGGGCGGAGAGGATGATGACGTGCTGTGCCGGTGGAGAACTATTGGTATGACATTCTCCCGGCCACCGAACAGCTATGGCCGATATCGTACGATTGGATCGCACGGTCACAAGTCAGCGCCAAAGAACAAGGACCGCTTTGAGATTCTAAAGATGGCAAGATCGCGTATGCTCATCGATGGCTTGAACAGTGTTCGGTATCATTTGGTGAATAAGGATCGGCACGCGCTCTACACGCATCTGAAAATAAGGTTAGGCAGTCAGAATGTCACCACTATGATGGTAGAGCCGCCGAAGCGCACTCTGCGCGAGATCCGTGACAAGACCATACCGCATTGGTCATGTCAGTGATGTGAGTGTCCGTGTGTGTGGTGTGTGTGTCTGTGTGTCTGTGTGTGCTTGCACGTGCATGTTGTCCTCAATGAATGCCCATTGTTTCCTGTGGTTCTGTGTTGCAACTTGTATCGACAAGATGGCACTATTGGGAGGCTGAAAGTGTGCGTTGTTGTGCTGTTGGTTCGTATTAGCATGTCTTTTATCCCTCTCCGTATTTATTACTATACCGTTCATCCGTGACACGTAGTCTACAATGTTTCCTGGATGTGCCACCATGACTTCCCCCGCCCCCTCCCCCCCCCCCCCCTCCCCGTTTGTATCGAGCAAATTATTTCAGACGGCCCCCAGTTGTGCGCCAGTGCCACTGTTATCCTTGAGGTGATTTTTATGAAACTTTCCATTATGTTATATATAATTTGATTCGACTCTATGCCCTGCATGTGTGCGTGCGTGCGTGTGTGTGTGTGTGTGTGTGTGTGTGCGTGTGTTTTCACCGACTCTGTGTAATCCCTGTGTACTGTTCTGGTCACGCTGTTCATGGCGCGGTGCACTGACTGCTGACGTTGATGCACTTAGCCAATGCGCAGTGTACGTGTAGGTACTGCTTTTTCAAGTCACCGGCAATGCCGTGTGTGTATGCCTGCATGAATCATGAAGCTTTTTGTTGATACGTGTACTTTACCTGCTGGACTCCGTTGTAGGTTTCTTTTTGTCCCTGTACATACAAGTATATCTACTCATTTGTGTCACCTGTTTGTCTTCTTTTTCTCGGTGTTGTTATGCCCACTGGCTTTGCTCACAACTAATACTAATAGTTAAATTAAAGCTCTTTTCTTCGGAGACTTCTCCGGTTTTTGCCCCTGGCTTTGCTCATATATCTGATAGGTTTTCTTACTGTAAAACTATTTCTTTCTTCACCTGGATATTGACAAGGCATTTCTTCTGTTGCATTTCTTGGAAACAGATGGTTTTCAGCTCTTGACGGTGAGTTGCCTTTCTTTGCTGTGTGTGTGTGTGTGTGTGTGTGTCAGCTAGCTGTTAGTTCGGTTGGTGGATACCCTTTCACTAGATTGTGGTGTCCGTTGCCATCACGTATGACATAAGGCTATCCTGTTTGAAGGTGTATCATACTTGCCACCCTTGTTGGATTTAGGATCTGTTTTAGTGTCTGTACACCGTTAGGAGCTGCATCTGCGCCTTGATCCTAGAGGGTGGTGGCGTTCTTGCGGATGCGGAAAACTTGGCTTCCAGCCAAGTCTTGCGCGAACCGTGAATTTTAATTATTTTTATTCCCGTAGGTATGCGAAAGGCAGTTATTAGAGAATAGTAGCGACTGGTGCTAGCCATGGTTCTGTACGCTTTTTGCGTGCGCGCGTGCGTGTGTGTATGTGCGTGTGTTTGTGTGTGTATATGTGTTCGTGTGTGTATGTGGTACGGCTGTGCGGTCATCATCACGTGACGGTACGGTCGCTAAAGGCCGGCGGCGCGGGGCGACGGGTCCTCAGCTAGCTCTTTAGTGTTACTGAAAGATAACATACTACAATGTAGCTATGTGTTGACTTGTGGGCTACTTCTGGCTTATAGGCTATTCGTACTACGTTACAATACGCGTCACGTTTTGGAGTACGACGTGCTGGCAGACGTCGGTGCATTCACACAGGCACGCACACGCTACTCGTACAGCTTCTTTTGGACACAAACCGCTGGGAACGACAACGAAACTCGGTACAGGGGTCTGGATACGTCGTCTACGTTTTCGTATCAGGAGTACGATTTTCCCGCCACGTTCCATGTTGTCATGGCTATCCGGACGAAAACGTCACGTACGCTACATTTTGGGTGTAGTGTGAATGGCCCATTATGCACTCAATGGCACTAGTGATGCCCATCTGAGGTGCGGTCGGACTTAGCAGCCCACACTAGTACTAAAAGTATTACCTTCACTGGGGGCAGGGGTAAATGCAGTTGGATCCCGGGACGGACACATTGACGCCGTGAATCCTTTTTCTGCACCTTGTCATCACCCATTTTTTTTGTGCTGCCCCCATGGAAGAATCCCGACTCGGCGGCCCGAACAAATTTTTCGTATTTTCCCTAGGTTTCCGCGAGTCTAGGGGTGTCATCGATTGGCGAATCCGGATTGAGTGTGAGCGGGCGGTGTAGTCCGAGCAACGCTGGCCCAATCGAACAAAACAAGGGTGTAGTACGCAAATCATAAAGCCAAAATATACGCAAAAAGATTCTATGAAAGCTGTCAAAAACGCCAAAGTCCATTTCCACTCCAGCCACTCTCGGTGTGGGGGCTGGTGTGGTCAGATTCCACTCCAAGTACACCTACTCCGGTCTCCGGATTCGGCCGGATTTGGCCAATCGATCGCGCTCACTCGGAGCGCACTTGCTCGGGATTCGCCCAATTGATCATGTCCTGACAGTATCCATGGAAACCGTGCAATTTATTTATTTATTTTTCATTGGTTTTTAGCGAATCTGTGAACCCGGTAGGCTGTATACGGCAATACCGGTAGTCCAGCACAGTGCCTGTGTTCGGTGCGCGTACATAACATTGTACATGAAGGTACCAGTACCCTCGCAAAGCGCAAACCGGTGGCATGGTGGCTGGATCTCATGCACATTGTAAAAAATGATCGTGCCCGTGAACTGTCTTTTGTCCCTTGGACTGAACTTTCATACATGTACTGCAGTTTCCGCAAATTAAAAAAAAATACTTGGCCCACTCTTTGCCTACTTTTCTCCGCAACTTCTTACACACATTTCTGGTTTCTCTCCGCGTTTCCATGGGCACAGATTGTGGCGTGCATGATGAGCCCATAAGTGAGATCATTTCCTGTCAAGCCAGAATTTGGGAATTTTAGGGGATGTCAGCCGCTGGACAATTCAATAGCTAATCGAAGTATCCCCCCCCCCCCCGGAAGAGCCATGTAACCGGGTTCTAGCAATGAGCAAGTGTGTGCATGTATGTGTGTGTGTGTGTGTCTATGTCTGTGTGTGTGTCTGTGTGTGTCTAAAATTAGTGGTGGTCATCAGCCTCGCAAGCTGTTGAATGGTGTAATCCCAGCACAAGTTGCTATGTCTAACATAGCTGTTTGCTATCATCGCTTCCGCGATGGGCAGGTCTGAGGTCTGAGGTGTGTGTCTGTGCGTGTGTCTGTGTGCCAGCTAGTTCGGTTGGTGGGTACACTTATGCCAGATAGTGTTGGGCCTGTTGCCAACGGGCTCGGCTGCTTGAAGGTGTATTGTTGTACCTACCACCTTTGTTGGTTTCAGGGTTCATATACTTTCTATTTGAAGTATACATACCTGTTAACCATGGCCCCTGCTTCTGGCTAGATTAACTCTTGTGTAATCAATGGTGCTAGTGAAGCTTATATTAGATCCACTCTGATTTAGCCACCCACACTAGTACCAAGTATTACCTTCACTGAGGGCAGGGGTACCTGCAGTTGGATCCCGGGACGGATACCCTGATGCCGTCAATCCTTTTTCTGCACCTTGTCCTCACCCACTTACTGAGGTGTGGTGAGCCCATAAGTGGGATCATTTCAAGTCCACCCTAGTTTGGGGATTTCAGGGGATGTCGGCCGTTGGGTGGTTCAATGGCCAATTGAGTCATCTTGCCAAGATTCCTTTTGAGTCTCTCTCCCCTCTCCCGGGGAGACCCACGTGACCAGTTTTGGCAGTGAGCAAGTACAAGTACAAGTACAAGTGTGTGTCTGTGTGTGGTGTGTGTGTGTGTGTGTCTGTGTGTGTGGTGTGTCTGTGTGTGTGTGTGTGTGTGTGTGTGTGTGTGTGTGTGTGTGGTGTGTCTGTGTGTGTGGTGTGTGTGTGTCTGTGTGTGTGTGTGTGTGGTGTGTGTCTGTGTGTGTGTGGTGTGTCTGTGTGTGTGTGTGTGTCTGTGTGTATGTGTGTGTGTGTGTGTGTGTGTGTGTGTATGAGTGTGTGTGTGTGTGTGTGTGTGTGTGTGTGTGTGTATGTGTGTGTGTGTGTATGAGTGTGTGTGTGTGTGTGTGTGTGTGTGTGTGTGTGTGTGTGTGTGTGTGTGTGTGTGTGTGTGTGTGTGTGTGTGTGTGTGTGTGTGTGGTGTGTGTCTGTACTACATGTGTACAGTACTGTCGGACGCCGAAGAACTGGGGATCAGGGTTCTAGGCTAGCTCGTTCTTATTTTCAGCGAACACAGCAGTTTCGTTCTTATCTGATGGTACACTGTACTACAGTCTTACATGTACATTTATGCAGAGTTACACGTCTGAGTGTACATTATAGTGTAAATTACGGTTATCTGTTATCGTTCTTATCTGCAAAAAATCCAGCCTACATCGTTCTTAAACAATTGGTGAAATTCTAGCCTGGCCATTCTTCGGCGTCCCACAGTACTGTAATGACTGGATGTATTACTAGGGCCAGTAGGGGTGAACGGGGTGATCCGGGTACCCGTTTGTTTAGCTGCTGACACGTTAGCAAACGAGTACCCGTTAGTCGTGTACGGCGGCGGTACAGTAAGGTGATATTAGCTGGCTTGCACAGTCACACAGTTTGAATGGGATGTTGCTTGTTCGATCCTGCTACATATGACAAGTTTGACTGTTCTGCATGTAGCGCAGTAAGTGTGGATGCTGTGCTTGTCGCAATGTAGTGCACTTGCTGTGAATTGCATGGCTTTGTATGTCCTCCTGGCACAAAATGCGGAAGGCTATTGTATAGTAATTGTTACTATTGGCTGCTAAAGGATACCCGATAACCCGCCCGTTAAGCCACGTACCCGTTTGTAACCTTAAAGGGTAACCGTTTCACCCCTAGGGCCCCTATCTACATGTATTACCATGGGGCCTGGCTGTATGAAAGCGTAATGTTGTTCCTGCCACCTGTGTTGGTTCCAGATTCCACATACTTTCTATTTGAGGCATGAACACAATGTCATGTAACTGGTGATCAGGAGGCTTCATGTGCACTTCTGGCTACATGTAGGCTAACTTGTGATTAGTCTATGTTGCTGGTTTAGCCTACGTGTTCATGTACATGCAGGCAAGAACAGTCTGCATCACACTCCAACACGGATTACCTTTGCTGTTATGGATTTGCCTGATACTATCAGGCTGTGTTTACATGAGGCGTTTCAACCCGGGTCAGATTTCAACCCGCCATGCGCAGAAAATGAATGGCGCGTTTACATGACGCATTGCGCTTGACCCGGGTTGAAATCAACCCGGGTCAAGAAAATCGTACAAACGTACTTCTGCGCGTATCTCGTGCCAGGTTTGAACAGCACTGCACATGCAAATTTCGCGCGAACGGATTTGACCATACAGGACTGTAGAAGTGGACTTTTGGCGGCATATCAGTATTTGACCCGGGTCAACTGTCTTCATGTAAACGCTCACCTATTTTGTCTATCATACAGACTTTCAACCCGGGCTGAACTCGACCCGGGTTGAAATTTCTCATGTAAACACAGCCTCAGACATTTTCTTCCTTTCTGCACCTTGGCTTCACTCACGAAGAGCCGGGCTCCACTGCCCGCGAGGAGCGCAGTGAAACATCACTTTTGTCAAACTCCATGCCCCTCGCTTGTGGCTCGCCACACGGCCGGGCTTTTTCGGATGTGACCATGCGCGCTGCATTCGCGGCTCGCGTAGGGGATACTCACACTTGCGCTACTTGTACTTGCCCACTGCCAGATACTAACATAGTCAAGTGGGTATCCCCAGGAGACTCAGAGGGAAGAGAAAGACCACTCTGTGGACATGGTGTTGACCTAAGCATGATTCTCTTGCAATAATGCAGCAGTGGAAACTAGTAAGTGAGTATAGGGATATCCAGTGATCAAAAGACTCAAGATCTGTATCATGATTTGGTGTTGGAATATGCTACAAGGAGAAAAGCTATAAAAAATCTTCATAAATTTCTTTTTTTCAGTTGATCAAATAATTATTTTTTCTGAGGGAAAGAAACTATGCAATTATGTTCTGCAAAATAATCTGTTGTAGGGATAGTTCTACCTAAAGGCAGGTAACCATGGTAACACTACCTATCTTCTCAATGGTGGTCCGGTGCTAAATGTAACTCACCAATAGTATTTGAAACTCGGATGTTAAGCCAATAATAAATGTAGAAAGGAAAATGTCTCAGTACTCTGTCAGTTTTGTGCCTAGTTGTTGCACTTTCTGACTGTATAATAGTGTCTGGTTACATTGATGGAGAGTTACTCTTAACTCGTATCCATATATCCTTTTCCTTTCTACACCAATAGTATTATTATTTTTTATTAATATTCTAGCTATTACACGGTAGTTTCTGTGTCAAGAGGCATCCATAGCCATAGGTACCTGTAGCCATAGGTACCTGTAGCCATAGGTACCTGTAGCCATAGGTACCTGGTTTGTTTCAACAAACTTAACCCTATACCTAAACATTTCTCCCAAGCAAGAGCTGGTCAAGGCAACGCTCCGAGCCATGACTCAGCAGCCGTCATGCTGAGCTCTAAAACTCGATCTATCCAACCGTCCACATACCTGCAATCAAGTTGCAGTGTCCCGGTGTCTGATATTTATCCACGAGTACACACGGTTATCTTGCTGTCCGTGCATTGCGACTGCGCTGGCGCCCAGCCACCTCCCATCCATCGCCGTCGCCTCCATCATTGTAGTGATCACCACCCTGACTGCTCTGCGCTGGTTTGCTTCCCCAGGCACTCGCACCTGCACTGGCCGACTGACGAGTAAGACGCCTCTCATCACTGGCCCCTCTTGATCCTCTCCCTCGTGGCTTATCTCCTTGCCAGGGAGTGTTATCCACTGGGCGCTGTGAAGAATGATGGCGGCCCCGCCGAGGATATGACTGACCGCGGCCACCTGTGGCTGCGTACTCATCCTGGCTGGCCGAGCCACCGTGCTGATGGCCTCTACGTCGAGTCTCACTTCGTCCACGATGGTCGTTGGCCGTGCTCACACCACCTGCAATGTCACCAGCACTCCTGCGCCGGTTGTCGTAAGACCCGCCACGCTGGCGCGTGCTGTGATCCCAGGAGCCCCTGCGGCCACGTCCTCTACCCGGCTGTTGTGTATCTGTGCCACTGGCACATTGGTTGGCACTGGCGCGTCTTGAAGACATGAGGTCCTCAAGCTGCCCAAGGCGACGGGCAACCGCCTTCGTTATCACATGGGATTCACCGAGCTTGCTTGAACGTATAGACAGCGATGTGCGTAGTAGCTGCACCGCTTCCTCCTGTGCACATGCATCTCTGGCTGCCAAATGCTTGCCTAGGTGATACAGGGTTGTGGCTGTTAGAATGTGCTCTGGTCCCACCGTCTTTCGCCGGATGTCCAGGGCCTGTCGGTATAGCTGTTCTGCTTCTCGAAGTCTGGACTCACTCTTGCCATTCAGTAGCAAGCCAGCCAAGTCGTTGAGGATTTCGGCGATGGCCGGGTGCTCGCCGCCATACCATGCTTTCCTGGCTCTGAGAGCACCGCGCATGCCCTCCTCGGCCTCCTTTAGTCTGCCCAGGCGAGAGTCACACACGGCAATGTGGTAGAGAACATCAGCCTGGCTTGGCGTGTTGTTGGCCGTGTCCAGATAGGCCTTGGCTTTCATCAGTAGTGACCAGGCCTCCTGCTGCATGCTGGCAGCGTGTGGGCCAGCGTCCTTGGCCTTCAGGAAGCCGAGTGAGTCCAGCAAGCGGCCGCGGCGTAACACAAGCTTCGGATCCATTCCGTAGAGGCTATCATCGTCGGCATCATCGAGCACGAACGAGAAGCCAGTGGTACGCAGAGCCTCACGGAACCAACGCTCTGCTTCGCTGATGTGCAGCTGGAACAGGTTCAACGATGCTAGTTGCTCCTGAACGGAGCTAAGCAGCTCTACCGGGCCGAGTAAGCGGACACTGTTAAACTCCTGGTGGTCGCCGGTGGTGCACGGCGCATCATCCGTTTCACATCCGTGCACCTCTTGAGCATATTCCATTGCATCCCGCAGCACATCGGCGGCATCCGTGAACTTCGATGCGGCCGCCAGGAAACGCCCAACCATGCTGGCCAGAAGAGCGTAATAGCGCTGCACAGTGCTCTGGCGGTCTGCATTGCTGTCTTTAGGACCCCCGCGTGTCAGCAATGCCTTCTCCGTCTCCAGCATAGAGCGATAGGAAGTGAGTTGATCGATACCAGACTTCTCCAGGGCACGCCAGTAGGTCATCAGATCCAGTCGCAGGCGTCCTTGGTTGTTTTGCCAGTCGACGCAATCCAGAAAGATCGGCGGCTCACACACGGCACGCTGAAGACCCGCCATGTCACTGGACATCAGACGCTGCCAAGGCAGCTCCTCAGTGCGCCGGATCGAAGGCTTAGTTGCTTGGAAATAATCGGCCAACACGCGATGCCACACAGCCTTCTTTGCCATCCACGGGTTGTGTGTCTGGAGATCGGCAGCATCCGTCACATCAGCATGCCGTACATCTAGCAGACAGTCAAACACTGCCGCACGGAGATGCTGATGGAAGAAACTGAGCATGCCTCCTTGTCGCTCAAACAACGCATCACCGGCGGCCGAGCGGAACGAGGCCCAGTCCAGCGAGGTCAGTTGTGGGTAGCCACAGGTCTGCAGCGCTACCAGGACTTCGCTGTCCGATAGTCCATGCCGGGACACGGCTAGAAGCTGCAGAGCAGCCGCTACCCAACCACTTAGCTGGCCAGCAGGTTTAGTTGCTGCTGCATGCACATTGCTGCTTTTGCAGCCGTCTTTTGCAGCTTGAGAGCCATCTGTAGTGGACTGTGAGTGTGGTATCTGCGATTGAATGCTGTCTTGGCCGTAATCGGTAACCCACCGCTGAATGACCAACGTCCAGAGGTGGCTGGGGGACTTGGCTGCCAGGTAGTAGCTCAGGCGCTCGCTGACCTTCTCATGCTCGCCGAATATACGCATCTCGTTGGCCAGTGATGCCAGGAAGAATGGCTTGTCGGCCAGCGGAGATGATACTACTCTGCTGAGCTGGTCCTCGCTTAGTTGTTTGCAGTGGACAGCGAGATGGCAGCGGACAAGCTGCCGCTTAGCATCGTCATTCTTCAGCAGCGGCATCCGAATGACCTGCGTGTCTGGGCGCCGCTTCAGGGCTTTAAACGAGCTGTGATTCTCTCCCGTCGACACCACCATGCAAGACCGCGTCGGCAGTGAGCTTGGCAGCCAGTCTAGCTCTCCTTCGCCAACGGTTTCACGACTCATCTCCTCCAGGCCATCAAGAATGATGAGGGATCGACCTAGCGCCAGCGCTGCACCGAAGGCAGCCTTGACACGGCTCAGATCCAGCTGATCCTCATTCTGCTGCTGTCGATCATTGCCGTCAAAGTCCAGAAAGCGCGACCGCAGCTCGGCTATGCAGTGCAGCATGAAGCCAAGGGGACTTGCACTGCTCGAGCTGCTGCCAACATAATGCGTCACTACGTGTACATCAGGCTCATCAGCACTGATCGCTTTACTCCAGTTTGCCAGCAGGGCACTCTTGCCGCTGCCTCTCTCGCCGACCAGGATGGCAATGCATGCAGCACGTGACTCCAGTAGCAAGTTGGCCGAAGGACTGCTGGGCTTGCCATCACCGCCCTCGCCATCGTTCACGGCTACATGTGTCTCCAGGGCACTCAGGACCGTGTCAAGCTCTGGCGTGGCCACGAATGCCCGGCGTCTGCTCTCGGCGAAGGCCTCGTGTGCAGCCCACTCGCTGAACAGGTCACTGGCGACTGTGTTTGATTTGCTGATCGTCATGGCTGGACTCAGCTCTGCGGCCAGCGGAGGATAGACTTCATCAATAATAGCACGCCACTCGCCCATAACCGCATCAGCCAGCTCTTCGTAAGTATTGTACTGGAAAACTGGAAGGCCAGATTCTACAATTTTTTGCTTCAGCTGCTGCATGGAAACGGCTGCAAACTCGCTTTCCGCCATAGCGTGCGCCAAGTTGGTGGAATCGGCGAGCTGCGGATTTCGAAAGTAGAAACGTGCATAGGGGAAACGTTCTCGGAACGCCGCCAGCTCAACTTCCAACGCCGTTATGCTGTAGCTTCTGTACTGTGTGTCCAGCAGCCACGGGTAGCCGGCCTTTGCAGCTACTCTAAAATTTCTGGCAATCCAATTGTCGGATAGGTCTGCTCCAGGCCCGGGGCCATGGCTACCGGCGTGTTTATTGCTAGTACCGCTATTGCCGCCACCACCGTCGGCACTACCACTCTCACCACCTACACCATTGAGAGGCCAGGACGGCGTGGATAGCGTTATCAGATCTGGTGTATTGGTAGCACCGTGACTGCTGGTCTCCACGGCACCACCGTGTGTGCAAGTCGTGGCAGCTTCTAACGTTACTAGTGATGCGTTGTCGCCGGGTTCTTCCCCTGCAGCTGGCGGTGGTGGCTGGTGAGACCCGTATCGCTCTCCGATCAGTCCCAGAAAATACGGCCGTGATTTGGCTACATAGTCCAGGCACAGTCGAATGATATCTCCTGAGCCCGCTTGCTCCTCCGTGATTCCCCAGCGTAAATCCACAGGAGCAAAGTAGGTTCCACGCAAGCGGCAAAGCTGCTCCAGTTTCGGAAAGACCCGCTTCACTAGAACGTCCCTCTCCTTCTGGAAATCACGGAAAGTGGATGAAACGAAAGGTCGAATCGGCTCTCGCCAACTGAACTGGCGTTTGGCCACGCTCAGCGAGCGTCGCAGTGGTGGTGGTGGGCGGCTGGAATGACCTGCTGGCTTCTTCCTAGGGCTACCGGGAGCGATAGTCGGCTTGTGTTCCAAGTTGAATTTGTCCATTGCTGGCAAACCTCCGTAGTCCGGCGATGGGGTGAGTAGGCACCACCACGAGCAACAGGCCGCGCGCGCAGCGCTGCAGCATGCACACTGCGTACCGGCACTACAAAGTCCTAAAATCGGAGCGTCTGCTGGCAGTCCATGATCATCACGAGAAAGCTATCCTGGGAAGGTTATCACGGTTATCAAGGTTATCCGTGACTGGGGAGTGAGTGCAAGCCGTCGCCAAGACCACATCATGCACCAGTGCCAGTGGTCCTGGACTCCAGACACGACGTCGTCGTTTCTTTGCTTCGTAAAATCGTATCATTGACAGGAACATTACAACTACAACGTGGAGCAAAATCCGTCACTTGGCCCTCATCATATGGCATGCTAGTCGTAGATCTACTGAGTGATAGAGTCAGACTCATGGTCATACTCATAGTCATAGTCATACAGTCATACAGTCATAGGCATTTTTTGTCAGTCATTCTGCATTATACAGACTACAGACTACAGTCTACATACAGACACCACTACAGGTACCGGACCACCAGGGAGTCGTGAAAACCCGGGCTTTCACGACTCCCTGATCATGATGCACACGTACCGACGTGCTACTGCATGCTAGCCTAGCAGCCACGAGTCCGGCTAGTGACTAGTATAAGTCATGTACATGTACATACTGCATGTACAGTGCTGGCAACTGAAATCCGACCCCCTGAGCGGTGGATTCACATTTTTTTGTAGCGCCGTGTTGGGTCTTTGCGATGTGACTGTGAGCTCACCGCTCAGGGGGTCGGATTTCAGTTGCCAGCACTAGTACATGACTGGATCAGTGGAGAGATCGAGAGCGCTCAACACAACAGCCAGTGCCGTACAGTGACAGCCGCGCCATGCGCCACTGCAGTGAAAACCAAGACTTTCCTAGCCTAGCCTACAGTCCGTTCAGAAAAAATGAACTAACACTTCTAGCTTTTGGCCATAAATGGGTCAAACGTTGAGTTTTTTTAGAATTTTTTTCTGCAATCCCATCCTCTTCCAATTATGTTTCTGAAGTTTTTTTGTCCAAAAAGCAAGCCATAGCAAGAATAGGATTTCGGCCAGGTTTTGCCCCAAAAGCACTGAATTGGGAAAAACCATCAAAATCCAGGCCGTTTGACCCCGCCTGCAACAGTGCATTCTGCGGTTCGAACCCCAGTTCAGGCACCCTTTTTGGACCCTTTTTCAAATTTCAAAGTTAGCAGCACTGCACTGTGTACGATGAAATCACGAAAAATCGCTAAATACGGGAGCTCGCCAGAGCCAGGACCCATCTTTTTATGAATGGACTGACCCCTGGCCTGGCAACGGGGGCCCTATGATATTTTTATGATGGGGAGGTGTAACCATGGTAACTGAATGACTGCAACTCTTACCCGGCCGGGCGAATTTGACAGGTAGGTTGACAGGCGACCTGCATACGGCCGGCCTGCCATTCATGGTAGAGCTCCAGGCAGGCCCGGATTTTTCTCCACCTGCTGCGATCAAGACAAAAGTCCCAGCTTGAAAATGCAGGCAGAGCCGCTAGCCGGGACTCGGAAGTACGGGAGTACAGATACTCCACTCATTTTTAGCTCGGGAACTACCGTAACTAATACTTACTTACTTCACACAAATCCAGTACATGTACGTACATGTACATGTACCATGAGTACCCTGCCTAGACTAGAGTTTTTCCTGTTGTAGTTGACCATGCCCATGATGGTTGACTCATTGTTGGTCCAGATCGCGAAAACTGCATGTCAGAGAAAAGCCGAGCTGTGATGTACCATGATGTACGAGCAGTCGACTAGTCGACTGGTAGATCTACAGCAGATCTACTACATGTACTAGTCAGACTACAGAGTCAGTGCTGGCAACTGAAATCCGACCCCCTGGCCAGGGCGCCGCGCCGGCCAGGGGGTCGGATTTCAGTTGCCAGCACTGTAGTAGTAGTCGGCACCGCGCGCTAGCGCTGGGCCGTGAACATGGTGAAGATCTACGTACCGCGCGTAGATCTACCGGTGGCAGTAGCTGACACGAAGAAGCTCGAAAGTCCAAGTCCTTGGACTTGGAGTCCGTGTATGGTAGTCTTACTTCTTCGGGAGCATGCAACCAACTAACTGTACGCGGATTCGGTGGAAGTAATTATTTAGTTGAACAGTCAGTGTTGTAACGTTACTGTTTCGGTACCAGAGACTCCGCATGGCCGCAGCTCTAATCTAATCGTCGTCAGGTATTTTCAGGGTTACTAGTAGTATGCAGCTGGAACGGGTGCGGTACTAGTACTGTAGTACTGTAGTACGATCTGGACAACGGAAGAGCTGACCATTCTTGAATGGGCGTGCATCGCCAAGTCAGTGAACGAAGACGAGCGTTCAACCCGTGCTGCTACTCTGCGTTGCACCCATTCAGCTCTGGCTGCCCCCAAACTCTCTATCTTTCCGCTTCAGCTAACCCAACTCCGTGCAACTGCTGTGCGCACATCGGACCAATCTGGGAAACATCCGCTGACCACTTGGAGCGGCTAAGCACCCACTGAGCTAGCGTGGTCGCATGATCACAGACTGACCATCAGAAACGATAATTTTTGTGAAAATAACCACGTCGAGCAAGGCTGTAAATCAGCCGCCGGTGTGCTAGTCGATTCGTGAAGGAAACCGGCTGCTTCACACAGCTCAGATTGTGTTACGTTCCAAACTCTCGAAAGCCTGCCTGCTGCTTGCAGCGACAGCCGGTCAATTGGGTGAAGGTGTAGTGGAGGTTTGGCTGAGTACTCCATACCGGTGTTGGTGGACTGCTGAGAGAAGACGAGCCAGCGGCGGTTGTGTCGTATAATCTCTACGTCTTCACGTGAAAGAAAGTAGCCGAATCTGCTGGACGCCGGAGTGTTTCGCATGATTGTACTCCAGCGGAGCGCAGCGGTGGCAACGAACTAATCCGCGGGGGTGGGAGGAGGATGGCTCAGGAGATGGTGAAAACCGGTTACCTGACGAAGTCCCCGCCGCAGTCAACCACCAGCATATCGTTCAAGAACTGGAGACGGCGATGGTTTGTGTTGCTAGATTCAAGCAAAGCGTTTCCATTAGCTCCCAGACAGGTGCGTCTAGAATATTATACCGACGAAACCAGCGCAAGCCATTGTGAAAAACCGAAAGGTACGTGAGGTTGAAGGGTCGTCGTTTGTGACATACACATATTTTGGTCATGTTTTCCGTGTCAAGAAGAGAGTTATTTTATTTACACAGGGCTTCACTGCTTGTGTTCCTTTCCGCCATCTCTGTACGAGGTGAGCTACCGCACCTTCAAGGCGACCTTCGATTCCTCGGGCACCTGGTGACAATGGTGTGCAGAACATTTTGCTTTTTCTAAACAGTTGGGTAGATGTACGGGCACAACGGCTATGTACCACTAATCATGGAAATAAACCAACTTCAGAACTGTCCATTTTGTAGTGTAGTCTGGGGTGCTGGCCTATCTCCATAAGTCACTTACTGGCTTAGATTATTTTAGAAAGCCTTTCATGAGCCAGAGCCTATCTGTACATAGATTAGTTACGGGAGAGGACAATCACTCAGATTCTAAAGCGCGAAATGTCATGGTGTCACCAGAGGTGGACACTGAGTGATGCTCTGTGCAGCTAGTAGTAGCTCCAGCCTGCTCGTGCCTTGGAGTTAGCTAGCTGCAGATGCAGGGCTGTGCAGTTTTGAAGCACTACTTATTATCCTGAGATGCTGCTCTCCACTATCCACGCCTCTCTCACCGCATGGTGCTTCCTGGCTTGTAATCGTGCTCACCTCCAGCCCAGGTTCAGATCACATAGTGACATAGTGAGATTACTGACCAACCTCACAATCCCGAATCCCTTGACTGAACGCCACGTGCATAATCCCCGTAGATACATGTACTGGTATACCGGTAGTCTACATCGAGAAAACAAAGCATTTTATGCTGACCGGCATGAACACTTGGCTGAATGCAGGATGGATGATATTTTACGCAGGATAAGCCGAGGGATGGGGAAATCAGTATTACACACCATTGCATTGATTTCCCTGCCTTAGAGTAGTTTACAGGAAAGCGAAACGTCTCAATGAATGTGCAGAGGCTGCATCGTCCACAGAATCGACTGAGCCTGAGGACATGTATTCTGCGAGCTGAAGACTGCTTATTCGATGGCTCGTCAAACAATGCTAAATCACCTACTTGGTGTTTTCTTTTGTAGCATTTTGTTCGTAGGATCGGTTGGGAAGTGAACTGGCTGGAAAGAGAAAAATCCTACTGCAACAGGACATATTTTGTTCGTGTTTTCTTTCTTCTTCTTTCAAGTACCTGGTCATACTTGAAGTATTCGAGATGTTCATTTTCCAGGAGTTTTCATGATCCTAATATCCCGGGATTTCCCCCCGGGGGAAGCGGTACCCCCCCCCCCCCCCCCCTCCCCAGTGTGGCCTTCTCAGGCTGAGCTGTCCCATACAGCCATTGCAGTTACTACACTCCTTAGACAAGAGCGCGATCTGCTCTACGTGCAACGGTGCAGTGGCATCACAGGTCTGCTCTTAGGGTACAGTGGAGTCAAATGCCATACTGGGCATGTACCTTGCAAGAAAGGACACCGTGTTCAGGACCATGTTTCTCAGTCGCATGGCTGATTGATGTATGCGTATTACCAGGCAAATGCACTTCAAGGCTGTAATCCGACTGTACCAATACGTTAGCAGTACAGGACAGAATAGCGTTTGCTATGTGTCGTCCAGGAGTGTTTGTACTTGTGAGGTTCTACTCTACATTGCTGGCACCTGATGGGAGCATTTCTTGGTGGGTGGCGTGTCGAGATTTGGTTTACGCAACGCCAGTGTGTGCATATGAGCACTCCGTGCTCCTAGATACAGTTTGGGGAACGTTTTGACATGGCTGTGCTTGACATACCTGCTAAAGCGGAGTACTGGGATATATTCTGTGACAGTGTAGCAGACAGTGAAGTCGTGCGCTTGTTTTTGTGTTGTTACTGTTGCAGGTGTAATAGACCTTCGGGATTGCTCCGGCGTGGTGGCCTCAGCCAAGGAGATACGCGGCCACAAGAACGTCTTCAACGTGGTCACCAAGCGCCGCTGTTATCATCTCAGTGCCGACACGGTGGCGGACAAGGAGAAGTGGGTGTTTGAGCTTCAACGAATTGTCAATGACTGCAAGGTAGGTACACCTGGCTGTGCAGTATCGATGGGATATTTCGTTCCAGAGCTATGGTATTGTTGTACAGTGACCTATCCAGTGCGTACGGTATGCGCACTGTGCGCAAAGTACAGCGCGAGTATACTCGTCATTGCCCAAACGCGGTGGGGTCTGCATGACGAGTATGCAATCTAGCTAAATCCACAACTCCCCGCTGCAGTCTTGGCCGTCCCACACCCGGCTCTTGCGCAGTATGCACTGCCACAACCTAGACAATTCCGCTGAATCACTGGTGCTGCCAGTTGTGCTACACCCTATTGGCAGCTGGTTCACTCCTTCAGTGCTACTCAGTAGAGTTGCCGGATGATGAATGAATACTGGTACAGGAATGATGCTGGTTAGGGAGAAACTGGTGGAATCCTTCTCTTTCTACACAGAAATATGGCATTCACTAGGAGGCTAAAGTGGTAAATGTGATAAAGTTAGGGTGGGCTGGCGAGCTAGTGATTTAGATTGGCTAAGTCGTTGGCAACTTTCTCTGTTCTATAATTGTAGTTTCTGCAAACTGGCAACGGGCATGCATATTTCGTCCTTTCTTATCAGGAACCAACACGCGTACATGTGTATTGTGTCTAGTCACCATCTGTGACTCAATCAAGCTTTAGGACAGCCTTCCTTTACAAGCCAGATCACAATTGCTGACCTGTCATGTGTGCTTGGTACTACACTGGGTAGCCAGCACCGTATTGGTGAAGTGTATGGCATGATGACGGAACCTGGGTGCACCGAAGACCATTGGACTGGTCCATTGAGGTCTGTAAATGCGGCTGGCCTCTGAAACCAGGGTGGCCATTGCCCATTCCATACATTTCTTTGTACTTAAGCAGTGGTCTTACAGTCCAGGGAGCTGCCTGGCCAGGTTTGACCTGCAGTTGGGTTTTCACGTTTGCTACATTCTCAAGATGAGCTTTTAGCTGCTGCCCAGAACGCAGTGACATGCTTGTTGAGATACAAAGTAGACAACCGTAGGTTTAATCAAGCTTTTTCAAGGTCTGACTTTTTAAAGATTAATGTTACCTTTGTTTCTTGACCAGGCTTGCGTTCATGCAATTCCTACAGTTCCTTTTTTATCTCGTATTATGTGCTCGGTCGTTGTCTTCTGCAGAAGCCGACACAATACGGCATGACAACAGGCCAGTTTGCATCATCTGTCACTCGCGATGACACTGTACTGGCTATACCGAAGCTCATTCCACCAGCGTGAGTACCTCACCCTCTTCCCCGGTCTTCCCACTTCCATATTTTCCCTGTGTCGTGTCCCTTCCTTCCCGTCTTGCCTCTAGGCTCTTACCGCCGGTTGAAAGTCGTACTAAAGCTCATGTGAGCTTGCCGCAACACCACCGAACTGTTTTTGTGTGTGCACGCCAGTGGCAGTTACAATTGTGTGGTTGACAGTGAGGACAGCACTGCGGAAGGGTCATGAGTTCTAAGCTTGAATGCCCTGATATTTGAAATCTTAGGTCGCTATTGTATGAATTTGAATCCTCCCATGGACTTACAGTAGACTGCACAAGGCTGGGGGGGGGGGGGGGGGTATGCTGGCCCGCCGGAACCGGTCCGGTTGGTCAGGTTATCATTGGACCAACCTTTTGGCCACCAATACATGTGTTAAGTACTGTGGAGGGCCGCTGTGTATCCAGTGTACTATCCACCATATCGATACACAGAGTATAAAAGACCACAACACTATCGGACCAATCAAAAGCTGCTTCCGGTGGTCCTGGTATGTATAACAAGGCTACTAGCAGCTATATTCTCGGTATACCTGGCTGAGCTTAATAGGCCCCACCACCGCACTCCATTTTTCATTTCAGTGTCTGGAGATAGGTGGATTTTGTAGAAAAATAGAAGAAAAAAACCTTGATTACGAACGTCCTAACATGGAGATTGCATGGTTGCATGCACTTATGGACTACTGGAGTGCGTTGATAGACTGCTCTCAAACCTATGCACTGTAGTTTACGAGATGCCGGCACATCAGGCAGATCCTGAATTGCTGCCCATGGGCAGGGTGGGGGTCTAATACGCTGCCTTAATAACACCTGGGCTGAACTGAGCAGTGCGTTTGTTGCTCTGTGTGTGATGACCGCTTGCTTAATAGGGCACCAGCGAAAAAGATGAAAAGAACAAGATCGGTAAGTCCTACTCCGAATCGCCGGGTGGCAGTTTCACATCTGGTTCAGCTCATTATGTGGTAAATGTAGGCCTTCGTAGCCTCTAGTGGTAACTGCAGACAGCGAGTGCTGCATTTATTACTTAGGTATTCATCTCAGAAAAGACCCTGTGCTGGGTTTAGTAGTTATCTAGGCAGATAAAGTGCTGGTTTGTCTTCACACATCTTCTCTCGCAGTCTATTGTGACCAGGGGGTGAGTTGCTGTGCACCATTTGTCCAGTGGTAAAATTGTTCTCACGTACACACCACCATTACGCCACAATGTACATGCAGCACCTGTGTACATGTACTGTCTGCAATTGCCTTGTTAGGATGACAGCATCGGTACATTCACAGTCACACACGTCTGATTTCTCCCGTACTGGGGTTAGTATTCTGCTGCTAAGTTACCGGTAGTTCTGCCAGCTGATTTCACAGCCATGGTGTTGAGTGCGAAATGTAGCAGGCTGCAAAGGCACTGGGAGCCGGAAAAAAGTATGAAACAATTTCTGTTCTACATGCTGCTGGTCACTTGTGAAACGCAGGTGTGCGGGCAGAGGAGGGCTGTTTACTGTAAGTCCTGTTTTATTGTTTGACTCAGCCTTCCTTCCTGTTTTCTGTCTGTTCACTTTGCCAGGATGAACCAACGTTACGAGCAGGATCTCCAAGCAAAGGGTGAGTGTGAGCCAGTTCAAGTGCTGTACCTGGCCTATTGTGTGTGTGTGTGTGTGTGTGTGTGTGTGTGATTACTTCAAGTATGAGTTTTCATGGACCATCTGCAGCTTGTGTAGGGACACTCTCCACACTGTGCAGCTACATTTTAAAATTTTGCAATGGAATACTACTTTGCAGTAGCTGTGCACCCATGCCATGGCTTCGGTGAGGGGGGGGGGGGGGGGGGAGTGCCGCAGTAGTTCACCAAGTTGCTGGTTGGTCATCTTGTGCCCAAGTATCGCCTGGTTGCCTGGGCATTCAGGTGTCCAAAGTACGAATCAGGTTGCTGTGTTTGGTGCAAAGTACTGGTTCAATGATTATGGTTGTGAGGGCTTTATTAACTGCACATTCAGAGTGTGATTCGATGTCGGCCATGTATATTGAATTCATAGTTTTCACTGCTATTTTATGCAGCCTCGGGTTGAGGCGCACACAACTTCCTTGCTTAACTCATACACTACATGTAAATGCAAGAGGTGTTTCTGGCCGTTAGCATTCATCAGTGCTCTTGTGTATCTTAGTTTCGTGTATTAATGTTTTTGCTTTCGTGTTTCTGTGCTTATTTCATATGCAGGAGTTCGGCAAACCCGTCGCTTACGTATGATGAGGACTGGGGTGAGTTAGTCAGCCAGGGCTAATGTTCCCCCTTCCACATGGTGCACGTGCTGCACCGCACTCATTGTGCATAATACCGTGCATGTCCTGTTAGGTCAGCTGACCACACCCGATGTACATAACATCATAGTGTTGGCACCGTAGAGTCAGCTGTGTTCGAAGCGTGTGGAACACTGTGAAGTTCAGATGGGCAAGACGATTCCAGCGCTGCTATGCTCCGATGTGTACATAGGGTATTTTCCAGGGGAGAGAATCCCAACTGAACTACTACTTCTAGGAAACGGGACACCACACCCCTCCCCTCCCCTGTGTGCACACGTGATGCTACTGTTCTTATCGTAAATTTCCTTCTCTATGATTTATTTCAATATTTCCGTTCGACCACATTTCACGTTCTGGCTTTGTGTTGCTATTGCTCCTCCTGCTGCTGATGCTGCTGCTCCTTTCCAGATTCTGATGAAGGGGAGACTGCTGGTCCTATGTCAGTACAGTCAATGTCCAGTTTATGTAAGTTGTCCTATGTAGCTGTCTATAAGTACCCTTCTATTGGGTTTATTTTCGTCCCATGCGTCTGCAATCTGGTGTGGTAGTGATGGTACTGCCGTCTCCAAGATCAGTTCTTTCGTATGCTGCAGATGGAAAGGGGAATGCCTTTTCTTGACTGTATTTCCAACGGTGTGTGTGTGTGTGTGTGTGCGTCTGTGTATGTGTTTGCGTGCGAGCAGGTGTGGCCGTGCGTATGGGTCTCTCTCTCTCTCTCTCTCTCTCTCTCTCTCTCTCTCTCTCTCTCTCTCTCTCTCTCTCTCTCTCTCTCTCTCTCTCTCTCTCTCTCTCTCTCTCTCTCTCTCTCTCTCTCTCTCTCTGTCTTATGTTTCCATAGTTCACACTCTCATGTACTATTATTGCTTTCCTTTCTTTGTCATTATGTGAGAGTTTGGATAATTCACTTGTCCATGCAAGAAGGCATCAATCCCTGTTAATTCTGGAGAAGTTATAAAATTCTTTAGAAAGTAGCATAACGCTATAGCAATCAACGAACTGGTTGCAGCCCAGCCAAATCTATCTGCCTTGTCATAATTATAGACTCAGCAAACTGCTTGGCATTGGGATGCCTGGTAAGCACTGCTAGGCCTCCAGGCGTTGGTTGCTGGGACTGTCACAAAGTAGGGCATCTGCAAGATAGACAGTGTATGTACTATACTACCTGTGTGTTTCCCTGCTACAGCATCCGACGATGGTTTCGCATCGCCAAGAAGTGGCGGAGGAACACCTTCGCATACGTTTGGACGAGGTAAGGATATGGTGCTGGGTGCACTGTGCTTGTAAGTGGTCACTAAATCCCGGGGTTCCAGGTTCCAGAGAAGTACGCATGCTCGAAGACGCTACTGCAGTTCTTTTTATCTTCAACTGCGTTTTATCTTCAACTGCGTTCTTCTGTGACCGATGTACAGTGTATGTACTCGTGCTGTTGTGTCCAGGTAATTTTAGTTGTCGTAACACAACAGGCTCAAGAGTCCTCACGCTGAACTTCTTTCGACCCATTCGCATTCAGACTCTCCCTGATGTGACCTGTCCCCACATTGAAGTTTGTAGTCCTCTGTATGTGTCAGTCATGCTCCAAACTGCACTTAAAAAAAACCAGTATGTAGAGCACTTACAATGTCACCAACTTGAAAACGTATGAACTTTGTATAATCTGGGTAAATGTGCCATTCGAAATGCTAACCAGTGACTTGTGGCTATGGCTAGAGATTAGGTGACTCTACTCGGGAATGGAAATATAACTGTTGTCTGTTGGTTTGCTGCTGCTGTCACTGCTGCCGTTGCTTTTGCTGCCACCGCTACTGCTGCTGCTCCTACTGCTGTTGGCGTTGTTGTCGTTGTTGTTGCTGCTGCTGCTGCTGCCGTTGCTGTTGTTGTTGTTGGCAGGTCAAAGTCCCATTTTTTCCGCAAGCCTCTCTGAACCGATGCGGTTTGGAACAGGTAGGATGTGCACTGTTCAGAACAGTTCTAGACAACTTATGTTACATGGTCTGTAAGACAGTATCCATTGCCCTCTTCTCCTTGAAACACTGACCTTGTGACACCCCATCGACGGAGGCGATGATAGGCTTACATCTGCCCCACGGGTACAGTCCTGCAGTGCATGGCAGGGCTGTACAGCGTGACATGCTTCAAATGTACATGAATACTGGTATTGTACAGGGCACCCGTTGTTTGCATTGCACTGGGAAGGAATGGTATGAGGACCCACGTGCTCATTGTTCAAAGTTGGTGGCACATGGTCCGTTTGATCAGACTACTATTTTGGCGTGTATGTCCTTTTGGCTAGAGATTTTCATATCCTATCCCTGGTGCTTTTCAGGCCTAACTGCCAACGTAAAACTGTTTTGTAATGTGCAGCCCTCTTTCCACCAAACATTGCTCTATTCAAGATACACTTGCTGCATGCATGTATTCTCATGCAATGTATCTGGAGTAACTGCAACCGTCTGCAACCTGTATTTTCAGTCTTAACCATCAGTGTTATTATCTGTAGTGAGGGACATACAGTACCGTATTTCCCCAATTATAAGTCGCACTTGATTATAAGTCGCAGCCAATTCTCACGTTCGAACAAAATCGTCTCAATGCATTCACATAAGTAAGAAGTCACACTCGATTGTAAGTCGCACCCCCTTCTTTGCCCTTGAAGTTCAGTGTAAAAAGGTGCGACTTACAATCGGGGAAATACGGTAAACAGAGAACATCTATCGTCACACATGTGGTAACTGATGTGTCGAATGCCTTGTGTGCATGCAGGCGAGTATGGTGGGGACGTGGACGACGGCATTCCCGACTATAAGAACATAGGGGACGGAACTGATGACGGAATTCACGACTACTACGATTACGAGCACGGCGGCGCTCAGCCGGACGAAACTGAAGACGGCATTGACGACTACGATGATACGGATGAAATGCTGCTCGATGAGACAGAAGATAACATACAAGAGTATTCGAATCTGGACGAAGCAGGACAGCATATGAAAGACACGGATGATGGCATATTTGACTATGCTGACGTTGCCTTTCCGATTAGTCAACAAGCTCCGGGGAAAAATCACGCGTCCATGCCTCATCCCGCGCCCAAAGGTGCGTACGTCAATATTGAGGATCTCGTCGGCTCCGCAACTGCAGGTCAGTGCTTTGCTGTGCACATGCTGTGACTGTCCGAGCCAGACACATTGCTCATGCCGTGACTGCCATGCATGTGTGTGGTGTACCGTTATCTGCGATGCTCTGTCCACTGATTGTTGCTGGCATACCACCTTGTTTGAGGCATAGCACCTTGTTTGAGGCATACATGTAAAGTTATGGTGAGTTGTGCTGATGATGCGACACCTAAGTACTTTTCGTTTTTGGCAGAAATCGGAGGTTACACCCTCCGATGACAAGGCAGCATAGCATGTACCCATAACAAAGTAAAATAAACCATTTAACATGTAGAAGGATAGCTTATTTTTATCAGACTACAATCAGCTGTTTCAATTTCATCCGCCTTTGTGGTGGTATTGCTTCCAAAGTATTTGCAAACCCGTGGAAGCGCGAGCTGAACTTTTTGGCTTCGTTTTGCTTCGCTGTAGGAGCATCTATTCGCAGTCATGGCTCAGCATCAGCATCGATTCGTAGTCATGGCTCAGCATCAGCAGCAAGAAGTCGCCCGGGCTCCTTTGGTGAAGCAGACTCAGATCCCCTACTGCTAGTACAGATGCCAGGAACCGTGGCCAGTTTTGGGCAAGCGCCATCCAACGGCTTTAATGTATGTCATCTACCTTCTGGTTGTAGTTCAGTTTTTATTCGGGTCTGTGATTCTGCGTTTGTGCTCGGGGCATAACCGTTATAGACATGGCAGGACATGCGATCAGAAATCATGGTCGTTCTGGTATAATGTCCTGACACTTCTTCAATTGGTCGGACATGCCCGGACATACCATTTTGGCTTTTGCCACACATGTCTTTGAAAGCCGACGTTTTCAAATTTCTCACTCAACGATGAAGGACAGCACAGAGTTTCTTCCCTGAAAATGCGCACTCAATTTCCAACATAACTTTGGTTCTACTTTACCGCGTTTGAAGATCTTGGGCTCGTTGGAAAGCTCTTGATGAGAGAAATGCAATGAGCTCAAACTCGCTAAGAGCACTACTTATTGTCCACCACAACGTGCTTCAAACGCGAGTCAAGTTAGATCTGGGATGAAATCTGTCTCCTTCACTCAGCCATTTCACTGAATCTACAAATGCTTGTAGCTCGGAACTGCTCAAATGTTTGCGACCGGAAGCGCCGTGCCAGTCCTGGCACGTGCTACCTGTCCTCAAGCTGAGAAAATCCCTTATTTCATGCCCTGCTGACTCGACTTGCAGCACACAGCGCAGAAAATTCAAAATGTTCGATTGATCGCCGCTCACTCAAACTTCACCAGACTTTGGACTTTTTGAGGCGATAGCGGAGAGTTTTCTCTCGTGTTGAATTTGATCAAGATTTGGCCGGGTAATGACAGTTTGACTGCACCCACGTGCATTGAAATGCCGATGGAGCATTTTTTCGTCTCAGATCGATCGGACACTTTGTCTGTCGCACGGATATTTTGCCCGGGCAACAACAGAAAACGACCGGAATTGTCCGATGTCCGACTGTTATTTCATGCCCTGTAGTCGTGTTGTTGATCCACATCCTATTACCGTAATCTCGTGCATATAAGACCATGGTCTTGTAATCGAAAAGTCGCTGTTTTTGGTCCTTTCACAAGTGCATTTTCGTTCGATTATGAGACCATGTCTTATAATTTATACGAGAGACAAACATCGCATCGATATGTACATGTGCAAGTACGCATATTATTGGTGAATGCCAGTACAATGGAACCACGATGAACCTCGTGTGGTTTTGTGATTTTCATTCAGTTATTTTTGCATGTTCTTATAAGCGAGAGTGCCCTTATATTCAAAAATACGAACATGTCCTCAAATGCGCGAGATTACGGTAGTACTACATGGAGGGTGGAACATGCACACAGAGCAAGCAGTACATGTACTGTGTGCCAGCCCCATTGATGGGGAGCGTTTTCGTTCAGGTTTCGACTAGTTTCAAGTATACCCGTTGTTGTTTCGCTGCAATGAATCACCATTTTCTGCAAACTATGTCAGGTGTCATGCACTGATCGTGTTGTTTAGCGAACATCATCTTCCCTTTCTTTCTCTTTTTCAGGGTTCTTATGGTGAAAGAGGATTGTACAAAACTAATTCCGGTAAGAACAAGTGAAACATCTGTGAAGTGAAAACATCTGAAAGTGTACTGAAGTAGCAGGTAGCTTGAGAGGGATGTCAGTGGTTTCATTTCTTGGTAGTGTGTAGTGTTTGGAATATGCAGGACCCTTGTGCATTTTAGTTGCACGAAATTCATTCAGTGACGACACACATTCTCTTTTCTTTCTACCTGCTCTGCTCTGCAGCGGGTTATATCAATTTGCCTCCCAATCCCAATTCTAGTCGTCCAAGCAGCATGCAGCGTCCAGCTTCAGGTCAGTCCGTCCGTCGTAGAATAATAGCCTCATGTTCTGCTGTGTCAATGAATCCTGTTGTCTTGCGCTGGATTTCATCTAGAAGAGAAGATCAATTAACTTATAGTTGTGCACAGTTTGAGCTACAGCAGGAGCCTAGAGATGACAGAATGAGGCTAAATGCCAGTGATCATTTGCACTTCTGCAAATACCAATCCTGAAAGTTTGCTATTTGTTTCACACTTCAGCTTCAAGTTTAGCTGTTGTTATCTTATTTCTTTGAAGTACTACTTTGGACCTTTTCGGCCTCTGCCTTTATACACTTCATGACAGATGTACAGTAAACCTGTAACTAAAGACCACCGTGACTAGCGACCAGCCTGGTACTACCGACCATTTGGCCAAGCACGGACGGTCTCACACCCGTAACTAGCGACCGCGATGTAGGAAATCAAATGTTGCTCGAACCTCCTTCTTGAAATTTTCCTGATTTTCCATGGTCCTGAAAGGAATCTTTCGGTACTACAGCTGAACAAATGAACGCAGGCCATGTTGATTGTGGAGTCGGTGTGGACTGCACTACACCTGTCAGAATTTCGAGCGCTGTCAAGAATAAACATGATAGGAAACGTCTTGGAGAGCGCATCGAAAGCGCTCTCTGCTCGATGTTACTACTCGGAGGAGAAACTAAGACTGAGCGGCTCTGTCACCCCAGTCATACAAATGAATCGACGATGGCGTCAAGGAATCCGGGAACAAAGCAGCACCGCAAGGTCCTGATGCTGAAGGATCGCGTTCAAACAATCGAGAAGTCACAACAAGGATAGTCGGTACGATTGATCGCATGAACAAATTTGAAGCCCAGCTCAAAACGAAACTTCCACAGGGAATATTTGACTCCTGGCTTCAGAAGTAGCAGCTGAATTTGATGTCTGCAAAAACTTAATCTTCTCTCTCTCTCTCTTTTTGTCTCTCTCCATCTGTCCGTCTTTCTCTCCAAGTGTTGTTTGACCTGAAATAAGAATGGCATTGCGCAAGTCCTGGGGAATTGTATTAGCTGCATTTCGATATACATATCATATAATGGGATCCATATATGGTCGCACGGTGCAAACCTCTAACTAAAGACCACCTGCTACTAAAGACCGCTTTTGCTGGCACCAAGGGGTGGTCGGTAGTCACAGGTCTTACTGTATGTTCCTTTCCTGTCTTCATGTACGTACAGTCGAAGTATCTGCAAGTGCCGGTAGACCACCCGCAGTACCTAGGAAGATGGGTAGCAGCATTAAGTCGTCATCTTCGTCTCATCTTCCACAGCCTAGCAGTAGTAGCTTTAGTGCTGGCAATGGTGCTCACAGTCAACGTCCACCTCCGAAAAGTAAGCAGAAATCATATGTTACATGCGACCATGCGTTGTTGTTGTTGTACTTCTGTGGGCTTGAGAGAGGAGGATAGTACTTCCATGAAGAATGAACGAGCTGAAATTTCACGCTAGGCATGTGTTGGGAGGTGATCAGGGGGCATGATCTGTGCGCGATGTATGCTGTTGGCAGTGTTCATGGCGTTGCGGAGCAACATGGTGAGCAACGGACCTGAATGGTTTGGTGCAAAACCAAAATTCCTGCGTTCCATCATGGGTGTTTTGGTCATGCAGATCACTTTTTACTTGCCTGCCACGCAACTGCGTTCCCACTGCATACTTGTTCCTAGTGGCTTGGATAAGAGAGTAAGAGTCGATTTACACGTGGATCATTTTCAGCAAAGGAAAATACATAGTTTTGAATGTCACTTACTACGAGATACTCAGGTGCAAATCTGTCATTCTTGTGTCTTTCTTTTAGGCGCTCGTCCGAAACCAAATCCAGCTGCAAAGCCTCAGGCGACACCCAAACCTCTGGCGACACCCAAACCTCCTCAGCCTGCCAGTAAACCAGTAGTCCGCCCTCGACCACATAATTGATATCACCGTCCATATATTTCAGCTGGAAGCAGCGTCTCCTTGAGTGCCCAATGCCTATGTTACAAATGTACATATAATTGATTGCATTGTGTTCCCAGTCAAGCAAATAGCAGAATGCCTGCGGTAGTGCGCAATGTGTAAATTATTCTTGCCCCGGAGAGTTTTACGAGAGTATTCTTTTCTTTTTGTGCCCAAGAAATGCGAAACGCAGTATATTCCGAATTGACACGGTCCGGACTTTTCTTTTCCTTCCCACCCAGACACGAGGTGTCGTTGCCCATGCTTTCTTTTACAATGTATGCTTACACTGCCATAACCGCATATCTATATATATAATATCTTGTTGAGATAGTGCATTACATTATCAACTGAAGCCTATATCATATTCCTTGCGGTGCACCAATCAATGTCAGCCGCGCACGTGGTGGCCTTTCAAATTGTTCCCTGTAGGTATTATGAAAATCATAGTAGAGGATGTTCAGGTTCACAAATTCAGCACAGCACTGGTGATGTCAATGTACAGCAAGCAAGCGAATACCTTGATTTGCCACACGATGATGACACACCAGCAGTAAAGGTCGAGCTTGACAGTCCCTTATAAACATCCAACAGTAGATGTAAGCTTTATTGCACAACAGGAGCAATACTTGATACTGATGAATGTTCAACCCCACACGATCAACAAACAAAGACTGTTAGTTTTACGTTATGAGTAGTATCAAATCCGAGCTCAAAGTAAACGAAGGCAGAGAGCTGAGACCGAGTCTCGACTGCAGTTGAAAAGAGAGAGCGAGAGCTTATTTTATAGCGCAATTTAGAGATATGGCGTGATCATTGCCTAGAATGATACGAGGTATTTCCAGGAACAACAAGAACAGGTAAAACTGGAATATGAGCAGCCAGTCAGCAGAAAAGCGGAATGCACGTACGTAATCATTCCAGAGAAAGAAAGACATGGAGAAGAAAGACCAAATAATTGGGACGTGGGGAACCCGCTCACCCACGTCAGAGTACAATGTGCGTATATGATGGTCACATTGGGGAGCCCGCTCACCCAACGTGCCATAGTTCAGCGGCTTCTTATGGTAAGTTCTGCTGCATTCTTGGTCTTGCTTGCTTGATACTCTGACCTCTCGTGCGGTCAATGCGGTGACGGTTTTGGTTCTTGCACACGCCTTGGCTCTGCACTCTTTGCACTTAGCTCGGTTGGTTAGTCTTGGCTCTTTGCACAAAGCACCGAGGCATCGTGGAAACCTGTAGAACTTCGTAGTGACGTGGTTTTTCACAAAGCCTGGAGTCACATTTCCCGGAAATGAAGCACTTCCAGGAAACGTACAACACGAGAACCTACCTGACCAGGTTCCGGCTTTGGATCACATGATGTGTCATGCCAAGAAGGCATGTCACCTACATTGTACGTGGGAAAGCGCGTGTCGCTCAACCTTCATGCTAAGCACGTGGGACAAGACACTGGCCAAACCACGTTGTACTAAAAGGGCGTGACAGCTCAGCACAGAGCTGCTCACTACGTAGATCCTGCTGTCACAGGACTATCAGGCAGCAGTCGTCACGGTCAGGGACGTGACACATACAACAGTAGATACAGTAGCCAGACCGCAAAGCAGGAGCTAGAAGTGATGACGTTGAATGTTCAACTAACATTTCCAACACGTTGGTCTTCTTCAGAATAATGGAATGGGGGAGATGGGACGTGAGGATGTGCCAAAATTGGTGCGATATTGTTCAAACCTATCAATATTCACCCTTGAATACTGAAAGAACTCGGATTGCTGCCAGTTCATTTTTATTTACCGTATTTCCTCGATTAATGGACCATGCTCGAATAATAGACCATGCTCAAATAGTAGACCCTCCTAGAGGCCTCACGGAAAATAGTAGACCATGCCCGAATAAGAGACCCGGTCTCTTATTTGAGTTCATCGCTTTGCGCATGCGCACTAAGAAAGCACGTGGTGGATCAAAAAAGGACGCGATTTTAGGTTGAAAAACTACAATTTTTGTAGTGGCTAGTGCTTTCTTTCATTATTTGAGCGCGGTCCACTATATTTTCATCGGCACATCGCTGGAAATGGTGGATTTTTAACACGTCATAATATAGAAGTTCTATATTATGACGTGTTATAAATCCACCATTTCCTGCGATGTGTCGATGAAAATATAGTGGACCGTGCTCAAATAATGGACCATGCCCAAATACGAGACCGGGGGTCCAACCCTCTTCAAAAAACAAAAGACCGGGTCTACTAATCGAGGAAATACGGTATACCACAATCATAAATTTTACCTGCCCTTTGTAATCTGTCTCCCACAGGACATTTCCAAACACAATGGTGAAAATGAACTTTGATGTTAGTACACAGTTCAGTTCAACTCTGAGAGTAGTGCTGTCCAAATCATGCCATTACGCGGAAACACAAGGGCTTTCTGCGTCTGAGCAGCTGAATTACCTTGGTGACAAACGCTAAAAAGACAAGGACTATAACTGACTGTGGATCTAAAAAAAAATTCTAAAGGTTATGCACTGGGCACTCATGCATTTGGCACCTGTATCATTATAGGCTGTAGCTAGAGGAGACTGTGATCGCAGTAATGCGAGATTTTTATTTCGGAAGATTTGACGGAGTCATGGCTATGTTCCAGAGTCAAAAGTGCCGAACTTCGCCAAGGTTAGACTGAAAAATCCCGAGATGTTGAAAGTTATTGAGTTTGCAACTTTGCCGATACCATGGAAACCGTGTGCAGATCTACGAGTTACTCAGTACATGTACACATGCACAGTCGTCGCCAACAAAAATCCGGCCAATGCCATGGATACAGTGGTACTGGTATGGTACTATGTAGTATGTGTTCACCGGCGGTTCTTCATGGTGGCAAGGTGGCATGTACCAGCATGTACAGTACCAGCGCAGAACCGAAGCACCGAACAGTCTGTCCTGCACTCTGCCTGCTGCAGCCGAGTCGAGCACTCCACTAAGCGAGTGTATGCAGGCCCGGCAGCGGGGCATGTGCCGTGCACTAGGCTAGTACGAGCGGCCGCTGGCAGTGCATGCGGCCCATGCACCGTATACAGCTACCGGTAACTAATACTTAGCATAGCATTGGCCGGATTTTTTTGGTGACAACTGTACGTCACAGCTGTTCCCACGGGGCCATCTAACAATATGGCGGCTTTTGCGACAAATCCCAACAGTATTTAAAACTGTAAAATAGAAGAAGAAAACACATGGAAACGAGTTATGAAGCAACTATCCACGATGTAACAAGATAATAAGCGGTCAGTACATGCGATAGCAGGGCACAAAACTGACAGGCTACTGAGACATTCAGCGACCTAAGACCTAGCTCCAACACATCTCCAGTGCGCAAACCAACAGCCTTCCAACTTGGAAGGTTCAAGGTTGGGTAGGACGAAAGAGAGGAAGGTGAGCCCAGCGGAATGTGCACCAGCTAAGTCCCACGGCAACAAAGAATGCCGACTGTTACGGGACGATGACGAAACCATTTAATAACATGACAACGTGGTCTAACTACAATTCGAAGCAGCAAAGCAACACACCACCCGACTTGGGTAGGTCAGCAATATCGGAGATGAAGGAAGGGGGAAGCTTTGCGAAAACGAATTGTACAAAAATATATAGAATAAATAAATTTCACGGTTCGCGTGAGACACGGCTGGAAGCCGAGTTTTCCGCATTCGTCCGTAGGAACGCCACCACCCTATAGGATCAAGGCGCAGATGCAGTGCCTAAACGGTGGGAGGTGAGTAGATAAGACCCACCACAAAGTGGTCAAAGACCGAAATCCCATTAACTGCATCCATGAATTGTACAAAACCGGACGCCAATATCTAACGGTGCTCCTCATGCATGACACTATTGTGGACGAGTTGACTACAATAACAAGTAGTTTCACACGACATAGCTGGTGCACATTTCAGCTGCGCTCCCCTTCCCCTCTTTCATCCTACCCAACCTTGAACCTTCCAAGTTGGAAGGCTGTTGGTTTGCGCACTGGAGATGTGTTGGAACTAGGTCTTAGGTTGCTGAATGTCTCAGTAGCCTGTCAGTTTTGTTCCCTGCCATCGCACGTACTGACCGCTTATTATCTTGTTACATTCGTGGATAGTTGCTTCATCTCTCGTTTCCATGTGTTTTCTTCTTCTATTTTTATTTCATACTGGCTCAGTATCTGAGTTCTATTTTATAATGCGAAGGGAATTATAACACTTTTACATCAAAACCATAACAAACCGAATTTTTGTACTTGCTGACACGTTCACGCATCAACGCGTTCTCGATCGCCTCGAAAATATTATGGCGAGGAAAGAGATTGAGAACAAAGGAAAAATTATTATTTGAGAGGAGAGAAAAAAAGCTCAAACGAGATGGAAGGCCGAGAATTTCAGATAGGCCAGGAAACAAGATGCAGAGGCACACTTGCTTTACTGCAAGGGTTTCTTCTTCCTGCTGAATGGACGGAGCGACTCGTGTTGTGGGAGAGTTGCAATCAAATGCATCTGTGCAACAGACTTGAGGCGCTACAAGGGATTGCGGATGGCCTCGTGGTGTCTCCTCAGCTCGTTGAAGCAGGCGTAAATGCTCTCACTCCCTTGCTCTGCGAGGAGACCAAGACCAATGCCTCCCCGCGGATGGACAGCACGGCATGCACCTCCAATATGTGCGATTTCAACGTGATGTGGCCGAGCTGCTTGCTGACGACAATATCTCGGCATGCGGCCATAAATGTCTCGATAAAATAAAGCCTTCTAGCTTGCATATCGTGGCCTCGTCCATAGGCCTGCAGTGGCTGAAGAGGGCAGTGCACTCGCCATACAGGGACATCAGGCGCTGGCAATCCTCATGATTTCAATTTGCCTCTGGGAGCAGCAGTGGCGCACGAGAAGCTACTGCAGATAAATGGGCTGAGGTTATTTCAGTTGTCACTGCTGGCTGAAGAGCTATGTGCACATGGTTGCCCACAAAAGCACCTCTGTGGTGTGCTTGCCTATCGATTCCATTGCGTTGGAGAAGTGGCTCGATGCTTTCTAAACATGGCCCCTCAAACTTTTTGTTCTGTTTTATTGCAGACATTTGGTCGGTAGTGACTGTCTCCGTGCAAGAATGCAGCACGGCATGCATCACTGGTCTTGTAGATGTTGTGTCAAGCTCTCCACTGTGGCAGCAGGTATGTCAAGCTCAGAAAAGAGAACAATGCACTGGAGTTGCTGCTGCACTAAATGTAGTTGTTGGGTAACTGCAGAAATCTCCTCATCTGTTTTGCCGCCTTCCGAATGCAGTGAGGATA